ACCATATAAGGGAATATTTAATGCACTGCAGTTATAATCAAGATAGAGAGTGAACACTTTGATCTCCCGAAAGCAAATGGCAGAACCTCTAATACTTTTGCCAGACACTTAATGTAGCGCTATCTCTTGGAGAAGTTAAAAAAGTTAAAAAAGTACAAAATTCGAACAAAGATATTGTAGTTGAAATGCACGAACAACTGCGCAAAACGATACAAAGATTTGCTTGATATAGCATGTCATGTCACGAGGGTTACAATACTTGGACACATGTTCATCCAGGCCACGAAAGGAACAGGCAAGTAACAAATATAAAATGTTCCTTTTCTACCAAATGTACAGTGTAAAATAATGATTGAAACAACCTGACCCTTGCCTCATGATCAATTTGGCTCAAGATTAACATGTTTCATAACAAAGGAAGGGAGGGAACCCTCTCTCTCTTTCTCCATTCAAAGCGCTGTAATTGGAGTTTGTACGTGGCCCAGGCGACGAGTGTCCATCGTGATTAGTATACCGATTGATAGAACACATACGAGTAATGATAAGTTGGTCAGCAATAAAGGGCACCTAATGAAACCCAAAAACGTCAAAAATCCTTTGAAAGCTTCTTGAATCTAGTGTCGGCAGATCGATTTTTTTTCATACGGACCTGTTTGTACTAAAAGGAGGAGAGTGTGCAGTGTTATGAATATAATTACGCTTTCATTTAACTACTTTAACTATTTTACTTTCATTCAACTTCCAAATCCCTATACCAATACTTGGACACATGTTCATCCAGGCCACGAAAGGAACAGGCAAGTTACAAATATGAAATGTTCCTTTTCCACCAAATGTATGGTATAAAATAATGATTGAAACAACCTGACCCTTGCCTCATGATCACTTTGGCTCTCCCTCTCCCTCTCCCTCTCCCTCTCCCTCTCCCTCTCCCTCTCCCTCTCCCTCTCCCTCTCCCTCTCCCTCTCCCTCTCCCTCTCCCTCTCCCTCTCCCTCTCCCTCTCCCTCTCCCTCTCCCTCTCCCTCTCCCTCTCCCTCTCCCTCTCCCTCTCCCTCTCCCTCTCCCTCTCCCTCTCCCTCTCCCTCTCCCTCTCCCTCTCCCTCTCCCTCTCCCTCTCCCTCTCCCTCTCCCTCTCCCTCTCCCTCTCCCTCTCCCTCTCCCTCTCCCTCTCCCTCTCCCTCTCCCTCTCCCTCTCCCTCTCCCTCTCCCTCTCCCTCTCCCTCTCCCTCTCCCTCTCCCTCTCCCTCTCCCTCTCCCTCTCCCTCTCCCTCTCCCTCTCCCTCTCCCTCTCCCTCTCCCTCTCCCTCTCCCTCTCCCTCTCCCTCTCCCTCTCCCTCTCCCTCTCCCTCTCCCTCTCCCTCTCCCTCTCTCTCTCTCTCTCTCTCTCTCTCTCTCTCTCTCTCTCTCTCTCTCTCTCTCTCTCTCTCTCTCTCTCTCTCTCTCTCTCTCTCTCTCTCTCTCTCTCTCTCTCCCTCCCTCTCTCTCTCTCTCTCTCTCTCTCTCTCTCTCTCACTCACGCGACGAGTGTCCATTGTGATTAGTATACCGATTGATAGAGCACATACGAGTATTAATAACGAAGAGCACATACATAATAAGAACCAATGATAACCCATGATAACCAATAATAACCAATGATAACCAGTGATATACCTGATCAGTTACAGGCACATCGTATTCCTAATGATTAGAATTAATGCTGGGACTATTTCCAAGAGGGGGAAAAGGTGCAGGAGAACACCTGGCACATAATCCGCCAAGACATCTGATCCAATACAATTTCTAAGAAAGATTACAGACTATTGGAGAGCTAGTTTCTAAGAAACACCCCAGGTCGAGCACATTCTACTACTTCTGCGGAACAAGGGAGTTCAGCACTGTTACACTCCTGCATTTTTTTGAGGTTATACATTATCTCCATTTGAACACAAGTCTCAAGACACTTACACTTACAGGTTTAAGTTCTTGAGAACAGCTAGAGGGTGATTTAAAAAAATAGCTTACGACTGGAGCTGAGAGGAGACCAATAGTAGAGACAGATCGATCTACTGACACAAGAAGCTTCCAAAGGGTTTTTGAGTAGGCTGTACTGTAATTGGTTATGCAACTTTAATATTGTGTGGTTTACGTTTTTCAGTTTTTTTTTTCACTTTTACCACTTTTTGCCACCTTTCCTGTTTGTCAAATATCTTTAGTTGTGAATAATATAAGGTTGCAGATTGATCGAGGGTGATTATCTTATCAGAGAGAAAAACTTTTGTGGAGAGACTTGTAAAATTTCGAAATATTTTGTTCGCAAAAAGTGATCAAATTGCAAGAAACGTGGAGAAAACTGCTTTTCAGAAAAAAGAAAAAAACTGCATCATGAAAACGTCTACTTGGCCTCGTCGCTCATTGTCACCTCAAAGATGGCAAGAGAAGACCAGGAAGCCCAAAATGTCCACTCTTCATTTGCTAAGCGAGATACTTCAAATCACCCCATATTATGTCAAGGTCGGCTAAAAGTGGCAAGGGGAGCAAAGAAACGGTAATAATCAATTCAGTTAATAATTCAGTTAATAATCAATTCAGTTAATAATCAATTCAGTTAATAATCAATGAGTTCCAGGAGAGTCAGGATTTCTTGGAAATTGCTTAGAGACGACAGGACAGATCGAGAAGGATTTTTCGCATTTATTTGATAGTTTGGATAGTAGGATCGAGCCAAATTTTATTGAATTGTGTTTGGCCATTCTAATTATATTTGTCCTGAAAAATGAGAGTTGTAGCTTCTCAGATAACCGAGATACGAAGCATAACGAGTTTATTCATTACGTTTGATCAGGTTAACCACCTTACCGTAGCATTACCTTACCGTAGATATTTACTTCACGGCTAGGAAAGATTCGTAGATTCCTCTACTGGGTTAACTTCCGGTTACCTGATTAAGATTTGTATGAAGTCTTGACTCCCATACCATTGTCGGTCCACTTAGTGTCGGGGTGCAAACGTGAGGTAAAGTAAGATCATTTCCAGAAATTCCAGAAATCCTCCATAAATTGCAGAATGTTTAAGGGCTGTTCCACACCAATTATACAGTCTTAAAATATTTCTTGTTTCATTGAATCATTCAGTCGGTCTTAGCTAATTTATCATTCGATCCCACCGCCAGCTCATTTCCAGACTTGTGTCTTATTTTCAATTTTCAATTTTCTTCGTCCATCAAATTTTCCTTAACGTCACTTATTCAGGTTATTCTTGACTTTTTCCACCAAGTGACCCTTGAAAACATCATATAGGGTAAAGCACATAATTTTGTCATTTTTTGGCAATTTTCCGACTGCCTGATATAAACCATGGGTTTTAACCTCGTCTGAAATTCCGATTTAGATGAAACCTCCACCATGTTATAGTAGACAGTCTAGGCAAGTTCTAACACAAAAATGATCGAAATTGCTGGGGTTGAAGATGTTCAAAAAAATTATTTTGAAAAAATGACAAAATTAGGTGACTTTACTTAATTTTGTCACCCCGAACCTAATTTTGTCACTTGAAGATTGTGCAAAAAGTAACCGTTTCTTGGTATTTTAGACTACCTGGATGCATCATTCGAGCGCTTTTTTACCAACATTGACCTCAAAAATCCCAAAGATATGATGTTTTCATAGTTTTGTAGCTTGATGAAAAGATGACACTTTTTGGGTATCTAATCTTAGAAAATAGCCCCCAAATGCCCCTGAAACCACTCGCATCTTAAAAAACGATTGGTTCTAGGTCTAGGTTGAAATTTTCATGTCTGTAGATAGATCACTTGCTTAGTAATTTCATCAAATATTTTTTTAGTCATTTTAGATTGAAAAAATCAGATTAGATCATCTATATTTCTCGGCGAAAATATGCTATTATAAGTGTTATGCTATTATAAGTGCCTTATACATATCCTATGGGCAAAAAAACTTCAGAATAGTTGTATAAGGCCATTTTCAACACAATCTGTGATTTACAAGAAATTTGAAAAAGGTCGATTTTTTTGACAAAATTAAGTACTTTTGGCAAAATCGAACCTAATTTTGTCACCCTCTGTAACTTGAACAATAATTGCGCTAGAGACTTGAAAATTTGTACGTATACTTCTGCTGTAGAAGATATTTGAAATATGCAATGGCATGAAGCTTGCTCAATTACTTTTGAAATAGCAATAAATCAAAATTTTGAAAATTCCTTAAGAAAACCTTAAGGATCTTATTTATTTTTCGGGTTAACAGTTTCGCCTTCATTTTTTACACAGATGCAAAAGAGCTAGAAACTTAAACTTTGTAGGAGCAGTTTCAGCAAAGTCTAAGCTTTCTTTTTATACACAAACCTTTTCTTTCAAGCTGAAATTCCGAGCCGAGGCAGTTTTTCAGAGCAAAATGACAAAATTAGGTACCCTGACAAAATTACGTGCCTTACCCTACTAGTAGAGTTTTCTGTGCCTCCGGCAGACCAAGGAGAACCTTTCCGTCGTTAACTTATGGCACAATAAAGTTCTCATAGTTTTCATATTCTGGACAAAAAGTTCGAAGTGGAAAAATGTTCGAAAAAAATTCAACGGACTTTAACTTGGACGGACCTTAAATGAACGGACTTTATTTGGACGGATATTAAGATGAACGTTAGGGCCTCCAGCGCTCAATTAATGTCCGTCCAAATAAGGTCCGATAATTAATGGTAGCCATTTTCACTGTTTTAAAATGCCATAAGGCTACTGAAGACCTTAAAGCAGATCCTTTAATTCAATGTCCTTGTGTATAATATATATATATATATATATAGTATATAACATTTACTTCATGAAGAAAAAAAAGGCAAAATATCATCATATTCAGGATAACACATCCAATTTCGAATTATAACTTTGTATCCATTAAACGAAAATTTCCACACGTCTCCGGAAAATTCCCCGGTTTTGAAATATTCAGATTAAAAACTCAACAGACTATATTATCAAACAATTAAATCTATTTCAATGAACTCTGACCTTGTATATGTGTCTGATCCTTCCAATAGCTTGTTACACGAGTGGTGGGAGGCGTAGAGACTGATACTCACACAGTTCTCAATAGTTATCCGGTCCAACAGGAACTGCTCGCATGCATCTTGGATCTGAGTGGTAGGAGAACGTTAAAAACAACCAGCGGGAAATAATATTTACGCTATTTTTGTTGTAACCGTGACAGTGTAATTTTGTTTTAACCACTCAAGAGTTTAATACCACCTTGATCAAGTAGATATAATACATGATGAACTTTAACATACATTGCAACAAATACGGCTGTTTTAGAAACTAACGACAGATTATTTCATGTTCTTTTATAATTTGTTGCACAAAAATTACTCTACAATACCAGCAAAACACTCCGTTAATTAATTGATTAATCATAACAGAATAATTATCGCTCACCTCCTGAAAATCCAGAATACTTGCGGCAGAGAGCAAGGCTTTAACATTATGAGACTCTATCACTATCTCAGAAGTGTAGCAATAATCTATTAACCTCTCAAAAGCTTCTCCGCATACACCTACAATTGGAAGAGGTTCTTGAAAAATATTATAATTATTATTTTTTGAAATTGGTACACTACTTATACATTGAAATTGATACATCGTTAAAAAACGCTCAGAGCATTTGTTCATCGCCAGCAAGAAGTAACCAGAATTCTACTAAATAATACAGACGAGGACTCATTCTACAACAGACAGGCTAAATATGGTATAATTGGAATTTAAATCTTTAACTTATACACAGAGAAATAAACTATTTCAGGATTGATGGTCCACATTAAAAAGCGATGGCCGGTGTCGTCATGACCGCACCCGCTACGGCGCTACCCCCGATATGCGGAGGTCTGCATTTTCCCAAATTCCTGGACAAGTCCGATTAGTGTATCATCCCGTTCAGTCGACGCGAAAAAATATTTGGTGGTATAAAATGGGGGGGGGGGGGGGGGGGGGGCAAAAAGCTGTCTGGGGCGGTAAAGAGGAAGGTCTGACCTTTTTTAGGTAGACGGCAAACTAATTTAGCGGGGGTGGCACATAGGTATTGGCGATGGCTATCCAGTATTGTTACATGCGGTAAAAAGAAATTGCACCGTTCGAAATGCTTAGTGTTATCTGATAAGAATTCAATTTAACCCCATACTTTTTGCATTCAAATTATTATGAACAAGATTCTCGCATGATTGCAACTGATAGTCTGAAAACAGATTAAGTGACATTTACATTTTACAGAGTACGTAAGGAGGTTAACCTCACCAGACCATTAAATTATAACATTTAAGAAATATTCTACAAGAATAACAAACCTTTTATGGGAACTTGTTTCGCTGACGACTCTATCATACCAATGTTGAACATGCACTTAAAGTACGAAGTGTTAGCACATAGTACTGCTCTGTGGGCGTTTATCTGACGGCCCTCACAGAGAAACGTAATATCGCATAATGTCTCACTCTGAAACGGAAAGGTGTGATTTGTTTGGTCGTATTTGGTCAATTTGTTGCTGTGAAGTTTAAGACTACGTTGAAAAACAAGCGGGTATTATTCTTCTGCTGTAATAAAATACAGTTTTAAGGGGGGGGGGGGGGGGGGGGGGGGGGGGTGTCATGTCCGTCTATGTCCGCCTATGTCCTGTCCTTTTTGGATTCTATGAGACAACGGACGTGTTTTTTGGGACACGGACGGACACAGACGGACATTGGCGGACTCGGACGGACATTTGCGGACCCGGACGGACATTGGCGGACTCGGACGGACATTGGTGATTATTAGCTCAGGAGGAGGAGGACTCAGGAGGAGGACTGAGGAGGACTGAGAAGGAGGAGGACTGAAGAGTACTGAAGAGTACTGAGGAGGATGGCTGAGGAGGATGGCTGAGGAGGATGGCTGAGGAGGATGACTGAGGAGGATGACTGAGGAGGATGACTGAGGAGGATGACTGAGAGGGAGGAGGAGGATCAGGAAGACCCAGGAGGAGGACGAGGAGGAGGACCCAGAAGGAGGACCTAGGAGGAGGAGGAGGAGAAATGAGGAGGATGACTCAGGAGGAGGAGGACTCAGGAGGAGGACTGAGGAGGACTGAGAAGGAGGACTGAGGAGGATGGCTGAGGAGGATGGCTGAGGAGGATGACTGAGAGGGAGGAGGAGGAGGAAGAGGAGGAAGAGGACTGAGGATGAGGAGAAGAAGGACTGAGGAGGAGAAGGAGGACCCAGGAGGAGGAGGACCCAGGAGGAGGAGGACCCAGGAGGAGGACCCAGGAAAAGGCGCAAGGAGGAGGAGGACTGGGGAGGAGGAGGACTGTTGAGGACTGAAAAGGAAAACTGAGGACGAGGAGGAGGAGTAGGAGGAGGACTAAGGAGGGGAGGAGGAAGAGGACTGGGGAGGATCAGGAAGACCCAGGACCCAGAAGGAGGAGGAGGAGGAGGACCCAGGAGGAGGAGGAGGACTGAGGAGGACTGAGGAGGAGGACTGACGATGACTGAGAAGGAGGAGGACTGAGGATGGCTGAGGAGGATGGCTGAGGAGGATGACTGAGAGGGAGGAGGAGGAGGACTCAGGAGGAGGACTTAGGAGAAATGAGAAGGAGGACTGAGGAGAACTGAGGAGGAGGAGGAGGAGGAGGAGGACTGAATAGGAAGAGGAGAAGGAGGGGGACTGGGAGATGACTGAGGAGGAGGAGGACTGATGAGAAGGATGAGGAGGACTGAGGAGGAGGACTGAGGACCGAGGGGGAAGAGGAGGAGGACGAAGAGGAGGAGGAGGACCCAGGAGGAGGAGGACCCAGGAGGAGGACTGAGGAGGACTGAGGAGGATCGCTGAGGAGGATGACTGAGGACTGAGGGGGAAGAGGAGGAGGACGAAGAGGAGGAGGAGGACCCAGGAGGAGGAGGACCCAGGAGGAGGAGGACCCAGGAGGAGGACTGAGGAGGACTGAGGAGGATCGCTGAGGAGGATGACTGAGAGGGAAGAGGAGGAGGAAGGAGGAGGAGGATGAGGAGGAGGAGGAGGAGGAGGAGGACTGAATAGGAGGAGGAGGGGGGACTGGGGAGGACTGAGGAGGAGGACGGAGGACTGAGGAGAAGGATGAGGAGGAGGACTGAGGAGGACTGAGGAGGACTGAGGACTGAGGAGGAAGAGGACTGTTGAGGACTGATGAGGAGGACTGAGGACGAGGAGGAGGAGTAGGAGGAGGACTGAGGAGGGGAGGAGGAAGAGGACTGAGGAAGATCAGGAAGACCCAGGAGGAGGAGGAGGAAGAGTAGGAGGAGGAAGCATCTAAATGTAATTTCCATTTTTGTCCGTTTTTGTCCATTTTTGTCCGTTTTTGTCCGCTCTATTTTTTGTCCGTTTTGAAAATATAGGGTACCGAACGGACAAAAAACATGATCCCCCTATAACAGCAAAAATTGAACATTTTATTTAGCAATTTAGGTGTCCATTAATGTCCGCTTATGTCCGTCTATGTCCGCCTATGTCCGCCTATGTCCGCCTATGTCCGTCTATGTCCGCCTATGTCCGCCTATGTCCGCCTATGTCCTGTCCTTTTTGGATTCTATGAGACAAGCGGACATAGAGGGACGTGACACCCCCCCCTTTAAGGGTAATGTAAGTCAAAGAGAAACTCAAGCAAACATTATAACTAACAGTTCTTAGAGCGTTGAGGTTCTTCAGCACAATGTCGGAATGATTTGCACTTTTGTAGTGAAATAGAATATCTTTCTTGGGATCCTTCTCCATCCACGCATCCTTTCCCTAAATTACTGTGAAAATGTCAAGAAAGGATGTTGGTTTACGCTGAAGAATTGGTGTCAGCGACTAACAACAAAATTGATTTTTCATAGCGAAACTTATGAAATGTTCACTGTTCAATTAGGCTACTTTTATAAAATGATAAGCTCCAGTTTTCCATGTGAATGGATTCGGCAGAATTCCTTATTCAAGGGTACGGAACCCTTAAAAGTAACAACGACACAGTCTAAACTCTAAGGAAACCGAATAGGTCAGGTTACAACCAATTTTCTGTCACGTGCAATTTATCACAAACTTTTTATATCGTTTTAAGTGTTCCTGTGATGTTCACATGTGACCAATTAGAGTGGAGCGACGCTGCATCGTTGCACAATAGTTGACTTATGTCCAAGATTGAGTAAATGTTCTGCAGTGAAATTGGTCCACGATAACAATGTAGGGCGAAATGTGACACATTACGTTTTTTACACTTAATCGGTGCAGTAGTCGAGTAAATCAGGCCTTTGTTGATTTTATAAATAATTAAAATATGATAAATTAAATTATGCCGCGCATACAGCAAGTGCCACTCAGCGTGTTTTTAATACTAAAATGTCATCGCGCGCTACAATATTTTTGGTAGAAGACCGTTTTAAGGCTAATTGCCAGACACGTTGCTCTGACAGAAAAGCGATAAGTAGTGAGGCGCCTCCTTGAAAATTGGGTTCAGCACAATTTCACTACGCTTCGTTTAAGTGCACTACATGCAAGATATGGGTCCAGGATAACACCTAGGAACTCTCTGTGAAGATACAGGGAGACTGTGAAGAAATGCCGTGCTTCAAAAAGTTAACTTGCTCTTTGAATGGTCTCCGGATAAATTGGCACTTTTTCAAAATACTTACGGTTACGAGGCAACTGGTTTACAAAACCCAGCATTTGAGTCAGAAAAGAATTAAATTCGAATGAATCAAATTATATATGATAATAATGGCATTTGCCCGATACAAATTGTTATTAAATCACATCAAAAATATATACTCTAGTAGCAGGGAATAGTTGAGTGTGCACTTCGATGTGTACTATTTCTGACAACACAGGGTTGTTTGTTAGGTCATTCTTAACCAAAATCGTGTGGGTGCACAATTTGTTTCGCTAGAGACAACCCTACAGGGCAAATTTTCTAAATTACCCTCAGTCGCGTATACGAGATTTTCGTATTTCGGCTCCTGAAGGTCATAGAGACTTCAATTTTAGCTTAAAATTACCGCAATGGCCATATTTATATACAAGTTATGAAGCAACATAAGGTCTCCAGTGCTTTGTTTTATAGATATTGACAAAAAACTGTTTTTTGGCTCAGCGAACCAAAAATGGCATTGAATTTTGGTAACTTCAACTAGGAAGGTCGTAGAGACTTGAATTTTAGCTTAAAATGACTGCAAATATCACATTTATATACAACTTATAAAGCAATATAAGCCCTTTAATGCTTATTTGTTAAGATATCGACAAAAATCAGTCATTTGGCTACACGCGTGAGGAAAAATACCAAATTGGGCAAATTCTTTGGTCTTTTTTTGACAAGTTTTGTGCTCAAGTTATCAAAATGTGCTTTGCAGTTGCAGATCGGGTGTTTTCTTCCAATATGGGTCTCGGTATAAATCCGGAAGCACCCGGTTCATGGGTGATAGGGGTTAAAAATCCTGAAATATCAGGCGATGGGCAAGACAATTGTCTGAATTTGGTTATAAAATCACTCTTTGCTCTTTTGGGTTTGCTTTTTTCCGTTACATCGATCCGATTTCTAAATTCTAACTACTAATCATCCCCCTCTACATCATTCTCTTTTACATCCATGATTTCTATAAGTTCTTAAAGCCCATATCCAAAAAATTTGTAATTTCCTACATTCTCAATTTTTTCGTTTTCTGTGGCCCGCTCGCTTCGCTCGCATAAAGAGTCTTTGTATTCGCGCGGTTCAAAGATTTTTCATGGCGGATTCCAGATTCTCAATTTTACTTTTTTAGGGCCCGGAATGCTTTTTAATAGATAATCCTAGGTTACTTTTGGGGGCGAAGCCCCCGAAAATTTTGGAAATTTAAACTAGAGTTGGCCTCCTGGAACGAATCTGACAATGGAGAACGATTTTAGCATACTATTTTCTGATTTCAATTTTTATTCGGATAAATTGTCTGGATTCTAGAATCCCTAAACACTTGGCTTAACTAAAGCACGAAATAGGAGACAGCATGAAGTATCAAGAGTTTATAATTTTGGCAAAAATGTTTTCTCATCTACTACCATCACTTTCTGCTTTCAAGCTATAAACTAATACAGGGTTAAGGGAATTTGGAGAAGGAAGCAAGTATGAGACCAAATATTCAAGAAACAAGGAATTTAAATTTTCCAAAAATATAATAATGACTATAATTAGTATTTACTATTTAAATAAGATAGGAAACGCAACAAAGAATGCTTATGCATTATGCATGTTTAGACGTATTACATCAACTCATAATACTATATAATGTTCTTTGAACTCCTGACATAAAGTTATTACTATTGCATTGATGACCGTTCACAACATTACATGATTGATAATGCTATTATCAAAACTGGAATGGTAGTCTATATTGGGATTTGCAGAAGTTTTCTATAGCCGCCCCCATCCCCCCATGGGTGGTTTTCAGAAAAGAGTGGTTTCTTGCCATTCTCGTAGCAACCTGTTGAACAAGCTTTTCACCCTCAGCAGAACATGGTGATGGGGCCATCAGCCTAATCTGGAGCTCTTTTTGCACTCTTCTGTCATCCCTATCTGTAATTCTTATAAGATGATTGGACCTCGGATTTAGACTTGAACTTTGGACGATTCATGATTAATAGGAAGTTCAACAACCCAATGTAAGCAACAAAAGCAAGCGGGCAGAGCGACTAATTAAAAAACTAGAAAAAGTCCAATTCTCACGCCCATTCTAGCATCATCGTACAGATTAGTTAAAACGCCCTGTTTTTCTGATATTTTCTCACGCCACACGAATTTGGGCTGGGTGTGTGCAGTGTGATACACACATTGAAGACGTGATGTGTATATGCTACTGCTTGCCAATACAGATATCGGGTGACACTGTAGACATATCCGGTTTCATAGACTAGATAAGTAGATAGTAAAATGTTAATAAAGTAATTATGACAACTATTTATGTCGTGTACGCGAAAATGCCCCAATAATTAGCATCTGGTTAGTGGTTACTTGATGCACAGATTTTGTAGCTAATAGCAACAAACTTTGGTCTGTGAAACGAAATTTGATAGACTGGATCAGTGGATCCCTGACTGAGGACATTTAAATAACGGTCCAGCAACTTTTAGTCTGCTCTTTCACTTAAATTCCTACTGAAATATTATCGAAAATTCTCAGAGTTGGCTCTCGAATTTCCTACTTTTTGTCAAAAATTTCCTACTTTTAAAAATTTCCTACATTCTTAGAATGCGAGAATGCGGGTTTTTGGATATGGGTCTTAAAGTTACATCCGGCATGATGTAAAGTCTATATCAAAGCATTTTAATGTGGTCTTAACAAGTTGCAAGATATTCAAGTTCACTAATAAAACAAAGATTGTAGGTTATCCTTCTTTTACATATTGAGTAATTGTGGGCTTTTTGAGGGGGAGGCTATAAAATGGCCAACTATAACTTTAACGTAAACGACCCAATAATAATATTAAACGTAGAATGAAACTACTTAACACTTATACAGATTCATGGTATCCTGTTTCAAAACGCTTGCTCCTGATTTTTAGCAACAATATCGACTGACCCCACGACGTTGTAATATAAAGGTACATCTTAAGTTGCCATCAAATTATTTGCGTTGACATTTTAAACATTTTGAATCGGGGGATCAAAACGTAACTTTTTGATTGCAGATAAAAGATGTGGATGCGGATGTTGTACAATGTACATTGTACATTAACGTCATCTTAAATCTATTTTGAATGGAGTATTATACAGTAGTTCAACTATATAATTGCATATTCAGTATTCACCTACAAGCATAACTGCTTGGGGTGATAAGGTACATCTTTGAATGATAGTAGGGTCTTTCGGCGACACAGCAATATCACTTTCATGGTAGTCCCCGGCTTATGACAGGTTCTTACTTACATTCTACACTTCTACTATGCAATTACTAGCCTCTGGACCAACTCCCGATCATCTGTCCATATAATGGTGTTTCTGGACAGATAGATGGTGTATGATGCCCTCATGCTAATTTCAGCGATCTTCATGCAGGCCTTTTTCTCTTTAGTGTTAACGTTCAGGTAGTTCATAAAGGTTTGGAGGCTGCAGTTGTAAATGCCTCGATTTCCAACTTCTACTGTCTGGAGCTTGCAAGCCCATCCGATGGCTTCTATCTCTTCTGTCAGCTGCTGATATCTCTTCATCTTCTTTTTTAAATCTTGATCAGCAAAGTTCTCCTCATTCAGATGCACTTTCTTCGCTTTATCTGAATAGATCACTACATCTGGTCTCAGTGGTATTACCCTAATGTAATGTCTAACAATAACGTTTATGAGCGCTAAAATTTCGAACTAGCTAACTGCGGACCATATTCGGAGGAGAAATTTGGGGCAGTTTTTTGCTAGGAAATACTAATTTAATCGAATTGTAACCACAAAAATTACTCCCAATAATATTCTTATGGAAAGTGTGAATAAATATTAAATATTTTAGATAAAACAGGTTTGACTATGAAGTTGCGTCAATAATCATGTAAAGAATAATAGATAACCTACAATCGTCGTTTGGTAAACCAATTTGGTATCTTTCCTCACATGTGTAGCCAAAATTACTCAATATGTATTAAAAGAAGGATAACCTACAATCTTTGTTTTATTAGTGAACTTGAATATCTTGCAACTTGTTAAGACCACATTGAAATGCTTTGATATAGACTGATGATTAGTAGTTAGAAATCGGATCGATGTAACGGAAAAAAGCAAACCCAAAAGAGCAAAGAGTGATTTTATAACCAAATTCAGACAATTGTCTTGCCCATCGCCTGATATTTCAGGATTTTTAACCCCTATCACCCATGAACCGGGTGCTTCCGGATTTATACCGAGACCCATATTGGAAGAAAACACCCGATCTGCAACTGCAAAGCACATTTTGATAACTTGAGCACAAAACTTGTCAAAAAAAGACCAAAGAATTTGCCCAATTTGGTATTTTTCCTCACGCGTGTAGCCAAATGACTGATTTTTGTCGATATCTTAACAAATAAGCATTAAAGGGCTTATATTGCTTTATAAGTTGTATATAAATGTGATATTTGCAGTCATTTTAAGCTAAAATTCAAGTCTCTACGACCTTCCTAGTTGAAGTTACCAAAATTCAATGCCATTTTTGGTTCGCTGAGCCAAAAAACAGTTTTTTGTCAATATCTATAAAATAAAGCACTGGAGACCTTATGTTGCTTCATAACTTGTATATAAATATGGCTATTGCGGTCATTTTAAGCTAAAATTGAAGTCTCTATGACCTTCAGGAGCCGAAATACGAAAATCTCGTATACGCGACTGAGGGTAATTTAGAAAATTTGCCCTGTAGGGTTGTCTCTAGCGAAACAAATTGTGCACCCACACGATTTTGGTTAAGAATGACCTAACAAACAACCCTGTGTTGTCAGAAATAGTACACATCGAAGTGCACACTCAACTATTCCCTGCTACTAGAGTAATATCTAACGCTTATAAATTCTTTTTGATACAAAAAGCTTGGGTCAAACTTTTTCAAATGTTAACGGTAAGATGTTACAAAGATTACTCATAAAGAACAGTCAAAACGTTCAAGTGCTAAGAAGAAGAAAAAAAATCTGTCTGTTGCAAAACAATTCAACGAAAAACAAAAAAAAACATGAGATAAGAATCCAGAGAATGTCACATGTACGGTAGATTAGTTAGCTGGCGGCTTGTTAGCAGCAATGTCAGCGAGAATTTCCTTGTCTTCGACCACAGTGGGACCACACCTCATGTTCCAAGGAACAGATACGTCTATCTTTGCTGGATATCTCAGTCCTGAATGATGATCAAAAGCTGATTTTTCGGGTCTAGAAAAACGATAAAAGTATCACTACGTCAAAGTAATAACACTACTACAAGTATGTTGGGTGAGTAGAGAGTATATTCAGTGGCGTAACATTGCCTGTTGGCGCCCCCCCCCCCCCCCCGCCGAAAAAGCGCCCCCCTGTTGGCGCCCCCTCCCCTTTTGGCGCCCCTCCCTAAAATTGGACAAATTAGGTGATTTTAGAAGATATGCCGGTAAAATCTCTAAAAAAGTGTGTTTCTAGAGCAAAACGAGCAGTTTTGCTAGTACCTCAGTTAAGTTTTTCTAAATTGTCCCACATTCAAAGGACGATTTGGCGCCCCCCTAAGATGGCGCACAGCGGGGTCAGCGGGGCTCTACGTTACGCCACTGAGTATATTATTGAATTTCGAAATACAAAAAGTTTGCTCACCCAAGTTTTCCATGATGGTAGCAAATTCCTCCTCTGATTTCGTCAGTCTGGGATTGTACAGCTTCTCCTCTCTCACCGAGCTTTGGGTTCTTCCTGGTAGAATTATCATTAATATTACAAGTTATAAGATTGAGTAACTCTAATACTATTATTAGAATTATCATGATTTGATTATGAACTAATCTTTCGTGCGTGTCTCATCTAGTTATGTAGGTACACAGTGTACTTGAACATACACTCAGTTTTTTCGATAAAGACGGTTAATTTTGGCATAGGCTTCAGAGCCTTTAATTTTGACCATTTTGAAGGCTTCACCGTCTTTAAATTTGCTGGTAGAAGTATAAGGTCAAAGTGTGAAATGTGCTTTATTACATCCGATCTATTTTGAGACCTGCTGTGGCGCTGTTAATTTTGTTTTTCATTTGAAGGCTCCACCATTCTAAAGGGCGTCTTTATAGGATAAACTGAGTGCACTACATCTTGAGTTAAGTAGGTTAAAGGGCGTCTTTATAGGATAAACTGAGTGCACTACATCTTGAGTTTAGTAGGCTAAAGAGCGTCTTTATAGGATAAACTGAGTGCACTACATCTTGAGTTAAGTAGGTTAGTTGAGAAATGAGATAGGAGAAATGAGATAAGAGAAAGCTCCTAACTAAACAACTTGGTGGTCTAGCTTTGTACATTAAAGGTACCTCATTTTTCAAAATAATCTAATATGCAGCTTTCGGTTTATATTAACTCATTAAAGTGATTTGCTCATGAGAATATTTATAAACTATCGTATCTTCATTAAAGAGGAAGGGATATTGGACAAGGAATTGATGTACTTAATAACTTAACGCTTAACTTATATTTGATTGACTAAGTAATTAACTAATTAATCACCCACCCTGGTAGTCGTGAGCAGGGTACACACTAAATTCCTCAGGTAAACTAAACACTCTGCTGTGAACAGAGTGATAGAGTCTTCGTGCGTCACCCTGCTGGAAATCTGTTCTGCCACAAGCTCTTATCATCAGCGCATCTCCTGGAACAGATTCACCATTTGTAATTGGTGCTATATTTTGTTACTTTACTGGTTATGGTGGCTTTTATATCATAACTTGTTGTTTGCATACTGCTTACATTATCCTCGACCACAATCACAGCTCAATATGCCAGGAATGTTGTTTACCAGTGAAGCACATTCCGTGAGAGTGAAGAACGAAAGTCATACACCCGTCCGTGTGTCCGGGAGTACTCCTGGCTTCCAACTCCAGATTCCCTGTAAGATTATTTTAGAACGAAAAGTTGTTAGGATGAATCTCTAAGAGAAACTATCTGAGGTATCATATTTATTAAATTAAGAGCATGTAATTTTCAGAAAAATGGCTGCATGTTATACGTACCTATCTTAACTTTCTCGTTATCATTGAGAAACAGGTCAGCCTTTGCAGCTGATGCTTTGGAGATTATAGTCTGACAACCAGTAGCGGTACGTAGTGCAGCAGTCCCTGGGGGAATATCACGTGACTATCACGTGTTCATACGTCAGTCGTCATCACTGAGTGAATCGACACACGAGGCTTATACAAATGAGAGGCAAGAATGAAATATGTAAAGTTTATGAACTGATAGCAATTCACCTTTCAAAATTTGCTCCTTCATAAAAAAAATTATTGATTTTTACTTTCCACACACTATTTTCAACTCACCCTGTATTGTAGTAAGCACGTTTAAACTGTAAAATAATGTACATAATTTATCATATTATGCGCTTGACTTCTTGAGAATATACATTTTCAAACAATCAAAATCAGTAAAGGTATCGGGCTTTACTGTAGATAGAGTGTTAATAACAATCTACCTACAGTAAAGGTATCGGGATTTACTGTAGATATAGTGTTAATAACAATCTACCTACAGTAAAGGTATCGGGCTTTACTGTAGATAGAGTGTTAATAACAATCTACCTACAGTAAAGGTATCGGGCTTTACTGTAGATAGAGTGTTAATAACAATTAACCTACAGTAAAGGTACCGGGCTTTACTGTAGATAGAGTGTTAATAACAATCTACCTACAGTAAAGGTATCGGGCTTTACTGTAGATAGAGTGTTAATAACAATCTACCTACAATAAAGGTATCGGGCTTTACTGTAGATAGAGTGTTAATAACAATTAACCTACAGTAAAGCCCCGATTTACCGTCACGTTTGCTTTACCTGTCACATGTGCTTTACCTGTCACGTGTGCTTTACCTGTCACGTGTGCTTTACCTGTCACATGTGCTTTACCTGTCACATGTGCTTTACCTGTCACGTGGTCAGCATGGCAGTGAGTGTTGAGAGCATATTTGAGTTGCAGATTTAGCTCACTGATCATCTTAACATCTCGACTGACTTTCTCGTAGACGGGGTCTATTATGGCTGCTAAACGTGTAACTCCACAGCCTGCCATGTTTTAATGTACAGTTTAAATATTATGATCGTATTTTTTAGATCATATGATATTAATCGTGTGGAGAACAGTATCCTTAAATGAGAGTATGTCAAAATCTTGCACATAATATTCCAAATTATGTTAATTATTAAAATGAATATTTGATGGTTACTTAAAACGAATGTTGGACCCTGTGATATGATATGAAAATTAACATAAACGTGAATAAAAATGATGTAAATAAAAAAGTAAATAAAAGGAATTACCGATTATATAAGTGTACGTACTGCTCGTTGAGTCGAAAAGCTGCCGAAATACCAGTCCTGACATTACTAAAAACACAGTAACTTTATAATATTGTTAATAGGAGTCAGAAAGGTTTCAAATGTGGATATTTGCATATTATGTTAGTGTAATTAATTGTGTACTAGTGGTCTGTAGCTGGGGTGGGGGTTCTAGTTTACTAAAGATCAATATAAATGACAATGACATGTAATTGAGCCTGAAAATAAACCTTGCACGTTGCAAAATCTAATGTATCAGATTCAAATAACAACATTTACATTGTACATCATCGTCAAATCTAATTAAATGTAGTTTGCTGTTCGTGTGAAATAAAACCGATTTTAAAGTTATTGACCAGATGTTTATACGGAAATACTGAACAATGGCAAATGAGCAGTGAGCACTGAAGACGTTAAGTAAAAATAAACTTTAATGTAAGAAGCTTTAGCAACTTGAAGCAGAAGCAGTACAAGAATAAAAGCTATCAACATGAAATGCAGGAAAATGCATTGTTCTAGCAATACAACGAACGAAAGGCAATTTTACTTTTGCTTTCGTAAATATGTGAGATTCCTTAACATAAACTGATGGACGAGTGAATGTCCAACTTTAAAGCTCATTTCGAGTAATGATGTAACATGCATGACAGTGAAAGCAGTATTAATGACATTCTCACTTTTCAGAACTAAGTGCCTAATATAATTAAGATATAACATTTAAACAGTTTTATTCCTGTTCCATATGATCGAGGATAGTCAGGGCTACAAAACCTGACCAAGTTTAGCTCAATCCAGTACTGCGCGTTCGAGATATGAGGTTAAATATACCAAAAATAGGGGTTTTCTGGTGTGACATCATTGTAAATTTTTTGGAGTATAACCTCAATATCTCACAAACTATCCATTTGTGGTCTTTCTGAGTTACACTATCTGTTTCCTCTGGCAATTTCGGTTCAGAGTCAATTAAGTTTGAAACAAAATCTCATTATATGTGAAAGTACTGAGGATGTCAAGTTTGTAACAAGCGCGCGCGCGCACACACATATGACCTCATATCTTCCACATTTAATGATTTTTCATGGAAATTCTTTCACCATCCTGTAGCACTCATGTGCTGAGTAGGATAGCATTCAAATCATGTCTTTAAAAGCTTTTGATAAATACTGAGGGAGAAAATTCATGCTTGTAACAAGCGCGCGCGCGCGCATGGCCCAAGCCAGACTATATCAATGGACGGGAGGATTAAAGTACTTTCATACACACCAGCATGCTCATTGATGGCTTAAAATGAAGCTAAGACATACTCCTATCAGATCCAGCATAAGTTAGATACCATAATAATCATTAAATGTGTCTAAAATGAGGAAGCTTTGACAAGTGCGACTGGTTTTGGCAAATTTTGGTATAAAATGGGCCCTGAGATCATATTTTTCTCATTAAAATCACATATATCACGGATATTTATGTGTGTTGGGTGTATCCTCATTGGTATCAACCATTTCAATCATCTAGAGCAGCTTTCCTGATTCTTTATCTCATGAAAATGGGCAAAAAAGCTCATAAATAGTCCAAAACCGGTCATTTTCGCCGCTTTAGTAACCTCATTCCTGGCACCCAGAACACTTTGGGTACTCAAAACATGATTTTTCGGATACCTCAGACCCCTAACTAGCACATGGAGCCAGAAAGAACAGCATGTAGGGACTTCTAAATTTCCATGGTTGAGAACCCAATGTCGCACTATTCGTTCATTAATCCTGCTTTCACTGATGGAAATTAAGGGAAAAGATTACTCCATTGCTGGAATTTACTAAGATTTCTTTATCTAAAGCACAAGTATTTGTCACGACACAGTGCAGCACAACCTAATAAACCTAGAACAAGACGTACAGAGGAGTGAGGTAATAGTACATGGAGAATTACACAATGCTGAACGTAATTGAGTTTTAGTGGTTCACAGACCAGCAGTGACTATTCTAGAATAACCTGAAAATGGGTTTCACCACACAAAGAACATTCTCCGAATAAAATATATTATATTCTTCAGATTGCTCCAGGTTGTCCAGATGGTGCTCTGTTATAATATCTAATTTTATTTTGCGAGCGGAAGAGCTGACTCGTATATGGTAGACTGTTCTCGAACACTGCACAGCTGGCAACACATCAGTCCCAAAAGAGTCACATCATAAGATAAGTGGGATCTATTTATAGATTTTGGTAAATAGCCAGTTTTTAAAAGTTGGAACTAAGTAAATTTTGGGATGGTAAATTACAGTAAAAGTGATACAACTACAAATCCTTTTTGACGAACTTTAGAATTACTATCCTTATACTTACCTATAACTGATATGACAAATATTGTGTTGCTAAGACACGTGTTCATATTCGAATCTCGTGGTATGTTGAAGAATTAGCAAGCGTACAGACAGTCTTAGATCTATAGTATGTATAAAAGTAGTACATAAACAAAATATGCTTTAAGAATTTAAAAGCTAGAAAAAAACTGAAAATCTAAAATAATAGTTAGAAACTGTTGGAATGCGTGCTCTCCCTTGATTACATGACCTTATGATGGTGAAACGAAAGCTATCTAGTTTTGAATTCCGACTTTTGAGCGTCTATACTTTGCTGTCAACTCAACATAATCTTTCGTGATAACAAGCATTGTTAATACCTTATATGGGCATAAACAAAAAAAAATTGCTTCTGCTCATGTCACAAGACTTAATTGAGTTACAGATCAGATATTATAATATGTATAGATAATCGGTTAACACCTAACTATCCTTTTTAACAGTTTCTAAAAAATGCATTGCCTCCCATTGCCTAGCATGGTCTCAAGATCCGTGAATAAAACAGTCATTTCACCGTTTAAAATTTCAAAATAATTATGCTTATCAAATTGTATACAGAATAAATCTGTCATTAAAATCCATCATTTATGTGTTTTTGTTTAAATAATTATTTAAAATGCCTAGGTATTACTAAAACTAAGTATTAGATACAAATGCACATTTCTTCAGCTACCGTGCAGTGTGCTATATAAAAAATATATTATAAAATGCCAACAGAAACATGCCAAGAGTAAAAATACATTGATTAAAACGCAAACAAATGCTACTAATTGATTACCTGCAACTATTTATCTAACTCATACTAGCTTACTATACCCGCCATCAACAACAACAAACACTTCACTAAATCCCGCCTCCGCAAGCGATTTGGCCACCACCCCTGCACGCTTCCCCATCTCACAATGTACCAGAACTTTCTGATTCCTGCTCTGCTCCAGCTCTGCTACTGTATCAGGATTAGTGTGTTCCAGGTGCACTACTGATGGCAGTGTCAGGTGACCAGCGTCCCACTCTTTTTGAGAACGTACGTCTACGATAACCTGGAAGTCGTTGAGACGAGACTTTGCTTGCGATGGCGTGAGTTGAGTTGCCATATTCTGTGCTTAGTGTTAGTGAATTTGAATTGAGGGGTGCTGTAGTTTTTAATCTGATTCAATTCACGTTAAATTCATTAAATCCCGCCAAATACACGAATTTGGTGAGATTCTGTCGCCCACTCCATTTCAAATCCGTTTAATTAGTTATGGTTGTTGAAAATTGTATGGCATAGTTTCATGAGAAAAACATCTTATTGATAGGAAAATTCAACAATCAAAGTTCAACAACAGCAATCCATTTACATATAATACAATAAATAACAATAAACCATAAAAGCTGAAAAAATGACTGAAATTAATTTTGATAATAACAACAAGCATGAATAAATTAAAACGACTAAAATTCCCTCAAATAAAAATAAATGCACATCATAAAATGTGCAGCCACAAACAAGCTTAAACATAGAAATATATATATTTCTTCTTGAAAACTACTTCTAATCGATAAAACGGTAATATAATAAAGATAAAATCGCAAAGGTAAATAAAGCTAAAAATACAGCAAAAACCAACACTCTTCAATCTTTATAATAATTGTGACATCAGAAAACTATTGAGCCAAAAAAGCAATGTCCACCGATTACCAAATAATAATCTAAACAAAAGCCTTAATTAATAATAATAACTAAATACGTGGGCACTTTAAGTATAATCATTATTTTACGATTCAATATCGAATCTGCCTTCTCGCAAACTAATTTTATTAAATTAACATTTTCAAAATTCCAACACCATAAATTAAATGCAATATCATACTATCCTGTACAACTTCTTTAAAAGGTTAAACGTCCATACCATGCACCTCCCTACTATGATGAAGCCGCGCGGAGGCAGTAACAAACTCCGTCTCACAGCTATCACACCTAAACATTTCCACATCCCTATTAGCAGCAGTGGGGCTCATAACAGAAGCCAGGTGGTTGTTTCTCTCCATGTGGTTCTTCAGGGACCTGTACGTGACAAACTCCTCCTCACACTCCAAACATTGAAATGTTTTAAGTGACAGTTCCGCTTTTATACTGTCCAGTGCGTGACTGCTGGATGGGTACACGTGGACGCCACGTGATCTGTGCAGCCTCCGTTTTTTAGTGGTTAATTCGACTGGTATCTTTCCGACCATTAAGGCTTTTCTGTTGAAAGTGTCCTTGCCGAATACGAATCTTTTTATGTTTTTTTGACTGTGAGTTTTCTCTTTGAAAAAGTTTTTGTTAACCATCCTTAAAGGCCGTTCCTGGTCCTTACTGGATGAAACTGTGGCTGGAGTAGTCGGCAGGAAGTGAGACATCATGTGCTCGTTAAAAGGGTCCAAGTTCATGAAGCTTTGTCCACAAAAAGAACAAGTGTGATTTGAAACATCCTTGAACGGACGCGAAACTTTACCCTCGTCCATCACCACTTCAGCCACCATACCATCAACATCGTCTACGTTTTCAACGTCTATATAGTAACTCTCACAACTTTCAGTATGTTTTCTGGAACCAACTTGAGGACTCGTCGACGGTATTTCAGAATCACTTTTCAGGAGATTATCATCCTTCAAGAGATTATCATCCCTCAAGAGACTATCACAACAAGTATTGCTGATAATATCAGTTGGGTCAATAACTTTAGAATGTGACTGAACACTGAGGGGGACACCCTCACTACTTGGAGAGTAGAGCAATGGGCTCATTGCAGAAGAGGGAGATAACATCATGATAGTATCTTCTTCTGTTTTAGTACTGTCTTCATGCTCCAGTTGTTAGGGTTTGTACTCTGCATTAGGGACGTAGCGTACTCTTGCGTTAACGTGCTGTTCAGTTATCTGAAAATATTTCAAACATGAGCTGCTTGGAAGATGGAAAAAAGACCTACCGCTGTGATAGAAAATAGAAGGATAGAAAAGCTACATTTTTAAAAAGTTGACACTTAGAAGGCAAAATTCTCTTTCAGCGGATATATTTTTGATATGTTGTAGTGGACAAGAAATAGAGGCAAATATTCATAAAAAACGAAATTACAATTATTGTATTAACATGCTACGTAACAGAAACACAATCTCAATAGATACACCAAGCTTCCAAAAGAAAATAATTATACACTTTCAGCAAACAATTTGGTGATAAACAAGATCGCTAAATGTACGATCCATCTAGACTTGATTACTGGGGGAGAGGCGACGTGAATTTAATTTAGTCACGAGCTCAACAGTTGATAATGTGTACTTGTTCTAATGGGGCACACGCCCAACACATTATATAACTCCGACTGATTAAGTAGTAAGCAGCATTTAGTGATCAATATTATTAATTTTAAGTGTTATTTTGTTTTTTTAAGTTAAATTTTACGTCACCTCCGCACCGGTATTTACTTATTTCATACAACACCTTCAGAGGCAGATACAGTAATTACAGTGTAATCAAAATGCACATTCATCTAATCTAGAGGTAAATCACATTTAATACCACACAAAGGAATTAACTCTCAAACATACCTATACTACTGCATCAACGCGGGCCATCACCAAAATCACTTCAAGACAAACCATGCGAATCTAAAGTACTATCTATTGAAAAGAGAGAGAGAGAGGCTCTACTAGCAGTAGCACTGGATCTAAGTACACAAGTCCTTACTCCTTAGCACATGTAATGTAATGGCCTCTCTCTCTCACATTCACAACCTCCTACCACTGAATTTCACTATCTCACTACTGCTCCTACTCTCCCTTTCTCACTCTCTATAATCTCTCTCTCTCGCTACCTCTCTGTGATATACCTCTCTGTGCAGCATAACAATAGTTACACAGGAAACCACGTTTAACGCGAGAGAGAGAGAGAGAGAGAGAGAGAGAGAGAGAGAGAGAGAGAGAGAGAAAGCAAGCACACATTACGTACTTTAAAAGGCGCGTGGTAATATAAAAGCTCTCACATAGCTTGTAACAATTAAATATTTTAGATGGTGTGGAGGGTTGTGTTATTTGGGTGTTGTTCTTCAATGTTAAAGGTATGTTATGTTGTGAAACCAAATCAAGCATTACGATAACGATAAGGGTTGTTTCAGATGAATGTACGATATTTGCCCAGATAAGCAGGTGGGTTTGCCCAGTACAGTAAAACCTGATTTACCGCGGAGTTTGGGGGAAAGGAAACATCTGCGGTAAATCGGGGATCGCGGTAAATCGGGGTTTTGTTTGTTTACATTATGCATGTTAAGCCCTACTTGGGGGAAAGGAGATGGCCGCGGTATATTCCCCTTCCTCTTCTCTCCAGAAAATGCAATGTCTCTTAAAATGATAATATACAGGTGTCAGTTCTTAAGCGGACAGCTAATCTAATCTACATTATGTTACAGTGGGCGAGGTACATGTTCCCATCAGAAAATGGATTGCGTTATAATTTGATTATTAAAATCACAAGCTTTGTAATATTAGTGAGGCAAAATGTTAATACTTTAGTGAATCGTTATATATAGTTATACTGTATGTTTTAATTATACAAATTAGTTAAAAGATAATGAAATATCTGTGAATTTAAATACCCGACGATTTACTGAACCCAAAATCAACATAATATCGTTCAATTAAAACGTTTAATAAAATAGCTTTAATGCAGCCACTTAAAAACCGAATTATTACTTATCAAATTCAGTTAAACGACATATCTTCATTCTACCAAGATCGCTGATTTAACTAAAATAATTATAATCGCGAACTTTGCTTCCACAAAAACTTTCAAAAAATTGTTAAAAACTCTTATCAAGATAATATGTTACAGGAGCAACAAGATAACGCAGGAAAGAATCAACTTAAATAAAACTGCCAACTTCCTCTACCTGTTTACAGTTCCTATCAAACTCTTCTCTAAAACACTTCTTTTTTAATACCCCACTTTGTTAGACCTCAGTTCAGAAATCACTGTATCTCCATATTCGCTGCTATATCATATATAATAATGTGTTTAAAATCTCTCAGACATACAGAGATCCGTGCACCATCTCCCCTGTTCTACTTGTGTATGATGTGCATGGGGTCGAGTTCAAAGGTAGACTGTATGGTCCCGCTGGCACCTCCAGAAGGTCGCTGACCGGCCCGGGGGTCCCTGTTGTCGTCTATCTGTATCCTGCCCTCCAGGTAGTCTTGAATCTCGTTCAGTGTCATTACTCCTACCAGCTGACCTGGGGGTTTAGTGTGAGTTGCTATGTTGCTATGTGTGTAATATGGAAACAGCATCTTCACCTGAGGTAAAAATGCCATCTTCACTTGCCATTATCAACAGGTAAACATACCATTATCAACAGGTAAACATGATATCTTCACTTGAGGTAAACACTAAACATACCATTATCAACGGGGAAACATGACCCGAACTGCTGATTTAACTCAGAGCGCGATCCTTCATTTTGGGTATGAAGCCAAGTGAAGGAGAATAATAAATTGTGATCATGTTCTATAGTGGAGTCTGGTTGTACTAACCGACTTCAGTGATGTAGGCATGACTGAGAGACAGAAGTCCAAAGAGTGTGTGAGCCTTGTAGATGCTGGTTGTATCCACAAGCTGAAAGGGAGCACCGTCCATTGGACACTTGGAGAAATCCATCCTTTTGTCAAGCTGGGACTCGTACCAAGTCGTGTAATCTAACAAATAAGGGGATTTAGTAACTTTGGACAATATAAAAATAGAGGAAATTTGGCTACTTCGATAAAAGAGGAGGTGAGGGTTTTTGGAAAAAGAGATGTATAATAATATGGGAGTAATATATTGCAGGTTTACAGAAAACTAGGTTGTACAATGTACATTGTACAATTTAAAAGAACTCCTTTAAGACCAGCCTACAACACACATTAATTCCATTAGACCTCACAATTCTAACAATATCTAATCAGTTATCATTGATAGATGAAGCCATTCAAATTTCGGTTTTTTTCTTATTTCTGAGATTTGAGAATACGTAGTCCCTCCTGAGAAGACAGATAAGTGACTTCGTGGAAATCACCCCAGTGCTCTGGTGAATTTATATCTTAAAGTCACGTGAGTAGACGACTGTACCACGTGATAATTTACTGTATCACATGATAATTTTAATGTAGCACGTGATAATAACTAGTCCCTCATGGCGAAATCCTATCTAACATGTAATATAAGTGCTGATCATCTCACGGACCCACGATCTAAATTTTCTGAATTTTATCCCAGAATTACACAAAAACAGAAACTAAACGGCAAATTATCCCGTACTAACTGATTCTTGCTCCGATGAAGTTATATTTATTACCTTGGGTGGTGACGCCGTCCGGTACACCAAGTAGAGTTGAAGTTACAGGAACGGCACTGGCTTTGCTGTTTGCGCTGTGCTGAAATTCACATTCGGTTAAAATTAAGTCATAGCTATGTGATCACATTAAATTATTGTGGGCTTTTTTCAAATATGAAAAGAGGAAGATGTTACCCTTTTACTGAACAGTGAAGAGTAATGAGAATTAAATAATGGAAGGGAATTAAAAATATCTAATATAGGTACCCTAGTGATGGAGCCGAAAATGGCAGCTTTGTTGTCCACAACGGGCCTGTCTCCATACTTCTCCAGATCTTTAAGATCCCCGTACGAAACACTTGGCGACTGCAGCTGAGGGAGCGACCGGTTAATACTTGATACAATATTATATTTCATAAGATAATTACTATTAATTAAATTGGTAAAACGAATTATGATTCAGAAATGGATAAAATGTCAGTGATTAAGCGACCATTTAAAAAACAGCAGCACAGTCGTAATAATGGTAGTCTCCAATGTTTCCCTGTCTACGCCATCAGGAGTTAACAAAAGTTGTTTTAGAGATTATTGTATATAATTGCAAATCAATGAATCGCGGTACAAGATTTTTCAATTTCTTGTAATCTGTGAGGTTTAAAGCTAAAAAAAGTAAATCTATTTTATAACAACAATTCAACCTTGGATTCGACTGTAAAACACACTTATTAAATCAAAACAGATAGAGCAGATGTGTAAATTTAGATAGCAAAAGTTCAAATTAAATTTTGGCAACCGATTCGACATTGTCTGTTATCGCACAAAGTTTTGCCAAAGGGAAAAAAAGTAAAACGAAATATACATTATTTATATAATACTAATTCTATTCAACTGGTTAGAATATTCTTGGGCTAAAACAGTAAACTGTAAAACACACCAAAAATGCCAATAGCTTAAGGGGGGGGGGGGGGGGGGGGGTTCACCCTGATTTTTTTGTGAAACTTAGTTTCGAGATAGCAGTTGCCCAACAAACTAGGACCGGTGACCGAACTTTTGAGGGGGTCCCGGACCCCAACCGCCAAACGGTGCTTGCGGGGCAGCCACGCCCATATTTGATCCAAATTAGGCCCAATTTAGCCAAATACCCTGAACATGCCCAAAACCCAGATTTTAGGTGCTCTACTTGTAGCTAGTGGTCCCCTGAACTCGTATATGAATTTTCATCAAGATTGGACAAAAAATGACTGAGTTATGAGCCAAAAACCATATGACCATATTTGGGCATACGCACCAAATTTGATCGATTTTGGCCCATAAATTGGTCAAATATCAATATTTTTGAATGAAAACAACTTTATATGGAAGATAAGCCTATACTACAGATTCTCTATGATTATCAGCTCAATATCTATCTAACTGTGGATTCTGTGTTCAAATAGTTGCAAAAAATGAACAAAATCGCCCATATCTCAGTTCGCGATATTTGCAAAACTGACTTCGCTCAAAACAATAGAACTCAATAGGGTTTCAATATTTTTTCATGAAATTTTCAGAATCGACGTAGAATCGCCTCATGACCTTAAGTTTTGTATTAGAATTTTGAGTTAGGCCTTTAAAAAAATTTGGCGGCCAAATTCTGAAAAATGCCCGGCAAATTTCAGAATTTGGCCGCCAAATTTTTTTAAAGGCCTAACTCAAAATTCTAATACAAAACTTAAGGTCATGAGGCGATTCTACGTTGATTCTGAAAATTTCATGAAAAAATATTGAAACCCTATTGAGTTCTATTGTTTTGAGCGAAGTCAGTTTTGCAAATATCGCGAACTGAGATATGGGCGATTTTGTTCATTTTTTGCAACTATTTGAACACAGAATCCACAGTTAGGTAGATATTGAGCTGATAATCATAGAGAATCTGTAGTATAGGCTTATCTTCCATATAAAGTTGGTTTCATTCAAAAATATTGATATTTGACCAATTTATGGGCCAAAATCGATCAAATTTGGTGCGTATGCCCAAATATGGTCATATGGTTTTTGGCTCATAACTCAGTCATTTTTTGTCCAATCTTGATGAAAATTCATATACGAGTTCAGGGGACCACTAGCTACAAGTAGAGCACCTAAAATCTGGGTTTTGGGCATGTTCAGGGTATTTGGCTAAATTGGGCCTAATTTGGACCAAATATGGGCGTGGCTGCCCCGCGGGCACCGTTTGGCGGTTGGGGTCCGGGACCCCCTCAAAAGTTCGGTCACCGGTCCTAGTTTGTTGGTCAACTGCTATCTCGAAACCAAGTTTCACAAAAAATTCAGGGTGAACCCCCAGCCTTAAAGAGGACATTGAATTAAATGATGGTGCAAACGCACAAATCAAGCGCTTGGTAAATTTGAGATGCTGCACACGCGTTAATGAGGCGGAACACAAGGAAATATTTTATGAGGACAGCTAGAACTGACTGAAACAAACCATCGATGAGAACTCGGGGGGAGTGGAACCTTGTGATGAAGAACTCTGAAACTGTTAGGACGGGCTTAAAGACACAAACTATTTTAAGACACAATCTTCAACCTCAAGAATCAAAATATTTTAAGACACAATCTACTAGGTACTTCAAGACACAAACTAGGACAATTTACTATTTTAAGAACCAAACAACTATTGCAAAACGCAGAATGCTGAATATAATTACATGTCTTGGCACATTTGTTGACCAAGCAATAAACGGGCTTGTGATAAAACTCATCAGTCATCATGTCTTCAAGTTAGCGCTTGAATATTTATGCTGTGTGTAGTTAGACAAACGACAATTTCAATGAACATATAATTCAAATTTTTTCTAAAGCTTCTAAAATGAAAGACTTAAATACTCCATGGCTTATTTATCAAATTTATTTCACAAAATATATGGAGATGATTATTCAAACCCCAACAATCCTACAAAAGTAAACTAAAACAACAATTTACCTGATTGTACTGTAGGGCACGCTCAAGTGCGCGCTCTAAGAACACTCGTCTGATGGAGCCGAGGAAGGTCATGCTCTCCACGTTATCAACAATGGGGAACGACCTGTAGTCTGTGGTCTGTAACATCTGCTGGATCTGAAAACAAGATTACTTTTAGAATTTTTTAAATTTTTGGATGTAGAGTGATAGACGAAAGCTGGATCAATTAGTAGCTTACATGCTCAAAAGTAGCCATGCGAAATTTCCGTAATTAAAATACATATTAGATCATATTATTATTTTCTTCAAACCTGTCTGCAGGTTGATTCGTAGCTGCAAAAGATAATATCTCGTCTCATGATATCTTTAACATATTTGTTGTAAAGGTGAGTGTGTTTGGAGCTTATCTCCGGAAGATACGGTAACTTCTTAATCTGAGATAGGATCTAATTTTAGTATTGAAAATTAAAAGTTAATCGTAAATTTGGACAACGTAATTTCTAAACGCCGTAATATTATCTAAACATTCAAACAGTACCCTTCACAATCCTCAGTAGCTCTGTAGTTATATACTATATAATATATTATTGTCAGTCAACGCGATAACGCAGTATAATATCTACACGTTAAAATATGTCCGTTTTACGATCCTACGCTACAGTTTACTCCAGTAGCAGGGAGGAGTTGAGTGTGCACTTCAATATATAGAGTTTTTTGCTCAAATCACCGAACGCCGCATGTTGTGTCGCTAGTCTCAATCCAGTGGGGCCACGCCCATATTTCATATTAGGCGAGTATATGGGAAATTTGTATATCAGCTTCTGAAGGTCTTAGCCCTTAGGGACTTAAACTTGGGCTTAAAGTAACCGCAATGTCCATGTTTATATATTAGCACTACGATGGTCATGAAGGCCCAAAATGTTACTTGGGGGGGGGGGGGGGGGGGGGGGGGGGGAGAATCGAAAAAAACCGATTTTCACTGGGGTGCAAGTAAAAGAAATATGCTATATATTATAGAAAGTAAGTGAAATCGAGTATGCAGTTTGGTGTCTAAAATTTTTCTCGGAACAGGGTCCTTTGTAAGGACAAAAAGACATCGCGATTTTTTCAGTTCTCCGCGACAGATCGCGCATTTTCCTTTAAATCTGAGGACCAAATATCACATTCTCTGATTCTCTATGAGTATATGGAACCAATCGGCAATCACATCCACAGCCTTCCGAATGTAGGTACGGACCTCAAAAAACCGATAAAATATTTTCGGCTCACACTGATCAGGGTAACATGAAACGTGAACAAAAGAAGTTTCCAGCATGAACCGTAGAGAAAGTGGTTTCTAGGAATCTACTTTCACAAGCATGGCATCTCTTAACCCACTCGCCTGCTGACGTAACCTTTTCAGCCTAAAAATTTCCTAAAACTTGACCACTATAAACATAAATTTGACCAGACATAAAATTTAACTAGACATAAAGTCATACAATGGATAGGTGAAATCAGTACATTGTTATTGATTGTCACTTGTCAGATGGTACACGTACCCTAGTTCGACACGCACTGTAGTTCGAGAGAACTTCGACTGGATGAAAAGGATATTCATAAAGACAAATTGACCTGTCAAAATTTTGTTATCAAATTCGAATACTGTACATCAGATTTTATCAAAATCGAAAAACCTGAAACTGAGTGAGCACCACAAAACTGTGTTCATTTCACCTGATCGGTCACCTGAGGAGCAAGCCAGACATCATCTGCTCGTTTTGGAGATGAAAGAGAAGGCAAAGAAGGATTTGAAGAGACGATATTATATCAGAAGTGGTATTATTTGTTGTGAGGACAAGATATCATAGTGAACGATGCATAATCATGGAGTTTTTCTTGTGTGTGACTTAACGGGTGATACTCGTAAATTTTTTGTTCTAATTATATAAGACCGTCGACGAGTCTAACTCGGCGCACGTCTTGGTAGTTTATAAACCTTAGGTGTGACACAATTTGTTATCTTTTATTGTCAAATAAAGTACATTGGTTCTTAAATTTTTATGAGATCCCAGTTTATATATTTAAATAAAAACTTTCTGCTCTGAGGAGGAGAGAAAGTTTTTGTGGAGAGCCGCTCAGACATGGGCACCGTATTGTGTAAATTATTTAGGCATATTTTATGCAATATCTTTGTCGCATACGAGCGGGGTAGTAAATATTGTGTTTCGTTTCGTAATTTAGATTATCTATCAATTTAGCTTTCCAATTATTTAGCTTTCCATTTATTTTGCCTTTCACTTATCTCATGCTGTATAATTAATACTATGAGTAATATGTGCACATTATGCAATCTTATTGGGAGCTGATTGAGACAATTGATCACTACAAGTTGGTGTCTAACTGACCTCAGACTCAATTGTTAGTTAGCACAATGTTAGACTAAGTGGACAAATAAAAGGCTATCGTGGTGCCCCAGGTAACTCCTACTCCGTTTTATAGATCTAGATTGTAGAGTATGCTATATAAATATTGACCACATGCACATACCACACTAGATATAATCACAAACAGTCTATTTTCTGTTTGCTAGACCGGAACCAAACAGGAGAATTAAAATTATACTGAAAGGTTCTGAAATTTCCAACTGCTGATTGCTAGATGGCAGAAAATTGTTTTTAAAATTACCTAAACGTTTTGAAATTCTGATTTTCGTGCACTTGCCATTGAACCTGTGATGCTACGATAAGGACACGGCAATAGCCGTTGGATCACAATCAGAAACTATTTGTCGAACTAGAGTTCGACACGTACCGGAGTTCGACAGAAAGTCGAACTAGAGTGCGAATCTTGTCAGATACTTGTCACAAACGTCGTCTGATCTATAGTTATTGATTTGTGTTTTGCCTGTTAGTGAACAATGGACCGCTTTCTAAAACTTACTGGGCGGCGAGAGCACCTTTGATCTAGGCGAGATACTGGCCGGGGCCGGGCGTGGTTTGATTATTTCTAAGAAAAAGGAATTCCGATAATTTCTTAGTTTTTTATTTTTTTATTTTGTATATTCTTTATCAGTGCAGTTTTTTCTGCTCATTTTGGGTTAAATTGACTACCAGCCAAAGGCCCGGGGTCAAGATTGGGGTTAAATTTAATTTATAAAACTTTGTTAGATTCAATATTTAATTGCAGTTAGATTGTAGATAAGATAAGGAGCAAATTTTTAAATGAAAATTAGGCATAACCCGGAAAATCAGATGAGATAAGGAGCAAATTATCATATAACATTGTTCATGAACTAATTTGTGCTGCACGGTGTATTATCAAAAGTACGGACTTTTTTCAAATTCAAGCATTTTACCAACTTATAAAAATTTCACATGAAACGAACTTAAATCACGATTCTAAATTGCGCGTGCAATAGCATTACACATACGCGCTGACCTTCACAGACCCAAAATTTTAGGCAGGATCAATATTTTGAGGTAAACATTTGAGATCAGTATCACATCATCATGAGACATAAGCCGATCAAATTGAATAGTTAACGAATATATGACATCTAACTAATGTAAAATCCGGATTGGAGTATTGTTTATGAGTCGCATTGTTGTAATGTATTCTGTGTAAAATTATCTTTATCCCGGTTACTGCGACAAGTAAAAATGCTCTTATTAGGGAAAGGAGTTTACTCGACGTTTCAATGTAACTACATCGTATTCATGATCTAAAAACAAATTCAAAACGTAAAAAACATATATCTGAGGCAAAATTTGTGTACATTAATTTATTTTAATCAATCAACTTTATCCAAAAATGTGATATAAAAAAGTCAACAAAATTCATAACAAAATTAGTTTATACGACGACAAACTTTTATAGTAAATACTGTACAAGACTAAATATACTACACATGATACAGGATCATGCAATGCTACAACGGTGAACAGGTGCATGATGTGAAGTGTGTAGGTATGTATCTAGTGTGGAGTGATCACAGTTTACATTGAAACGTCGAGTAAACTCCTTTCCCTAATAAGAGCATTTTTACTTGTCACAGTAACCGGGATAAAGATAATTTTACACAGAATACACATCTAACTAAGCACTGCAAATAGTAAATACATTATAAATCTAGAAAATATATCTAGAGTATATTTATTTTACTCGCACCCCAGTACAGTGGAAATCGGTTTTTCTGAATTTTTCCAAAGTAAGCATTTTGGGCCTTCATGACCTCCACAGTGCTAATATAAACATGTGCATTGCGGTCATTTTAAGCCCAAGCTTAAGCTCGTAAGTCCCTAAGACCTTCAGAAGCTGTGGCCCCACAGGGTTGGGACTAGCGATACAACATGCGGCCCTCGGTGATTCGATTTACCAATGACCTATTTAACCCGATTAAGCAGCAAAAAACTCTATACATTGAAGTGCACACTCAACTCCTCCCTGCTACTGGAGTAGTAGCTCTGTTTAAATCAGCACGATGAGTGACAACAAGATGAGTTGCGCTTATCTCAGAAAATCTAACCTGAATAATAGAATCGTAGATGCTGGGTTGAAGCCACTGAGCAGCAGCGTTTGCGATCAGCACAGCTATCATCACAGGGATTATGTGGGATATTTGTCCCGTCAGCTCGAACACTATCACAGATGTGCTGATGGTGTGAGTCACTGCACCGGAGAATGCTGCCGCGCCAACTACCGCGTAACCTCCTGGACAAGGCAAATTGACGTTCTGATTTTTTTTTTTCTTCCTGATTTTATTATTTTGTTCGGAAACTTTAAAAAGAACAATCTCAATCTGTAGAAGAAATTACTGAACAAGTTTTTGCACGTACCCGGTTGAATAAAGAAGTTGTTTTGTCCCTCGTGAATACCCTCCGGGAACCACGCCGTCATAGCTTCCCCACATAATCTACCATACGCTGCTCCCAACACAAATATCGGGAAAAATACTCCCGCCGGGACTGGTAATGACACGCAGAATGCAGTCATAACAAACTGAAGAGAAAAGGTTGAAAAAGGGAGCTGGATAGGTGTTCAAAGTTCAGATAGTTCATAAGATGCTAGAAAACTACAAATCTAAAAAAAAAAACTGGGCAAACTAGATTGTTTTAAACCTAGAAAATGATTGTCAAGATTTTGAAAGTCCAATAATCACCTGGAAGACTATGAAGAAGAGAAGAGATACGAATATGTTAGGATCAGCCCACACAGCTTTTATATCTTCATCTGTTGTTATACTCCAACTTTGATCGCTGAGAACGGTTTGATATAAGTGACTGATCAATTTGATTATTGTACAATAATATTTACATTTTTCAACAATTATGTTGTATCTTTATAAATATACGACAGACCTCATCCCCATAATATAGAATCTAGAAGAAATATGGACCATGATGGATTCAACAGGATTTCTGATGACTTAAAACGTCCTCTATCAGGTAAGATAAGAATAAAAGATAGGCATGATACTTCAACAACTAACAAAGAGTCTCAAAGCCCATGACACTGCAATGTGCTCGGACAGACGCTAATATTATGCATCACTAATAATGCTAGTACCTGAAAGTTAACTTCTAACTGAGGTCAACATGGTTTACTACAACAAATCACAGACCAAATGTTGGGATTTTCACTGGTAACTATTAAATATCGACAATTATAGCCAGCTCAGTTTACAGTGCAGATTTACATGTCGGCTGGATATACAGTCACAATCCTGGCCTAGAAGTAGACTAACACACCTAATAATAATAATAATTTGAAATTTAAGAACACCGCTATTAAGATAAAACTTATACTCAGCAGTGTTAAAACTAGTCATCCCAGAAAATAACATGAATACTAAGTTAAGAAAAGTAACTTATGCTTAAAAATATATCGTCAATACTACAGCGAGAAAAAAAAAAAAAAAACTCTTGCCCCACATTTAGTTACTGCTCACCTGAACATGTGCTCCAAACTGTCCTTCTGAGTGAGCTTACCACCCATAAACTGTCCGAGCCAATCAGGAAACGATATTATCATGACGACTAGTGTCACTATACACGGGTACACGAACCTGCAGTGTTACCTTCGTTACTGATCTATACAATTACAACTAGACAACGAGGTCACGACCATTGCATGCGTGGTGACTCCATGAGTGTAATTCATTATTCAGTTATAACAGTTACCAATCAAACCGGAGAAATTCCAGTACTTAAAATCTTTCTCTAAAGTGCATTTTGAGGGTCAATTTCACATCAAAACTGACTTGTTTTTGTGGAGGAATATTTTGTGGCCATGATTCCTGATCAAGAAGACGATCTTTCTGTGCATGTAAACGAAGGTAGCTCCTCCAAGCCCCGCCAACAATCCTACACGATGATTATTAGTTAATGTTTTATACTATCAACTTGATTTTGTATACAGTTCATATAACTCGAGGGAAATGTTTCTTTCCCTTCCTTAGAAAAGTAACGAGAGACACGTGAATTGCATAACATTACATATTATATGAACATTATCTTAGTAAACATTGCACAATGCACAAACCCATCAAACTGAAAGCGACCAGCTCCAGAGGGTCGAAGGGGAAGTCCCCACTGAAGTTGGTGGGGTAGAGTGTGGTGATGGTGGCCTCGTTACTAATCCACACATCCATCATCCTGAATACAAAACTACCGCACACTGCTGTGAAGAACCCTCTCCAGTAGTTCCGGACTGCGAAATAGGTCGATGTTACCTGGGAGGGGGGAGGAATTTTTAGTTCTTATAATTAATTTTAGCTTAATATATTGTTGTTGATTTGAAACACAATTGAAATTATTAATTACTAAATAGTATTCACTATTTAGATATACTTTTTAGTAACTCTACTACAGCAAAGTAATGTATATTATAAACAATCACTGTAGATTATGAGCTCAGTAAACTAGCATTCGCAGATTTAATATCTTGCCAGACCCCTACATAACCAGAGATAGTAACGAGAGTCGAGACGTCTCACAAATATATAACGGTTAATTGAACAGTATTATTAATAATGCTATATTATAGAATATATCTTACAAAATATGGTACAGATGTTCGGATCACCGTCGATTATTAAAACAGGAAACCCTAGTATCCTATCATCGACCTGTCCTGTAATCTTATCAGGATACAAAAAGACTGATCTGGGCGTTGTTTAAAATCACGCATCTTTCACGCGTTACTCCTAACACTGGCCCTTCATTACATAAAGGATCTCACTAGCTGTCCACGTCAGTCCAGTTACATTTTGTAGATCGATATCTCAACCGAGTCACTATGTTACGTTTTATCCTCTCTGTGTTGTCGGTTATTGCTGTACTGTCGGGATCCACTGTCGCAGCCAGTGATAGCAGGAGTTATACAGCTCTTAAGTTTGCTTATGATGGAAATAGTTTGGTAACATATAGCCCGGACATGACCCCCTTCACAGACAAATTTACTATTTGTGTGTGGGTTCGCAAACTCCAGTCAGGGAGAAACCCGTCCCCATTTGCTTATAAAGGTTACGAGATATTCGTGACAGATAGCGGCTACTACAACATGCTGTTTAGATCCACCTCCCTGGATGGTGATCTGATTAGCAAGTTTACCTCACCAGTAGGTACATGGTTTATGTACTGCTCCACGTGGAGCCTCGCTTCTAGAACCTTCAGAGTCTACGTTAATGGTGAACTAGCAGGTACCCAGACCACACCTTCTGGGAGGAAGCTGCAAACAAGTGGAGCATTAACCTTAGGGAATTATTCACCAAATAGCGGTCATCATTTTGGTGGCGAACTGTTTAATTTTAACGTATACTCTAAGGAGCTGACAGCTACAGAAGTAGCTGCCATGTCTTCAGGTGGTCTCTGTACAGAGATACCTGAACAGTTGGAGGAGTATAGAGTTATAAAGTGGGAAGATATTGTGAAGCTGAGTAGGTCTGGTACTGTGCAGGACTTCATCGACCCATTATGTGCTGATTCTGATGAACTGCAGAGGACGAGAGGAAAGCTGGAGTTAGCCGTTAGTGAAAAGAGTACTCTACAACTTTCCCTAAACAGGACGCAGATAGAACTACAGGAAGTTCAGGGGCTGTTCAACTCAACCCAGGAAGAACTAGTTGGGGTAAAGAGAGACCTAGGGGAAATGGGAGGAGAGCTGAATGAGACAAAAAGTCAGCTTGAGGACACAAAGTTGGAGTTGGAGGATACTAAGTTGGAGTTAAAGAACGTCACCGAGTCTAAATGTGCGCTTCATAAAGGCAACCTAACGAAGTGGGATATGTTTTATTCGCCCGCTTATTATAATAAAACATTTACTCGCCGACTATATCAACAACTCACCACAACTTGGGACTCTATTAGCAGTAAGATATAAGCAGTATACTATAGTTAACATTATATTATATTTTATATGACAATTTATATTTATATTGATCACTTTTGAAAAATTGATTTGTGCTTCAAAAAACACTGGTAACAAAATCGTATCTTCTAATAAAACGTACACACATAAGATATATTATAGAATACCATTTAACTCTTGCAACATCTCAAACTCGCTCATTAAGCCAATTTATGCTATCTACATATTATTAATATTTGTAAACGAGTTCTCACTTCTCCTTTTATTCAGGTAAACTGTTTGGTATGACGATAACTGACAAGGTAATTGAGCTGATTAAAGATCTGGAGGACGATCAGATCGATCACTGCGGGGACTTATCATAAAGCCTAGCTACAGAGATAATCTTACTAAGGTACTGACCAAACTTAACTTTTCTGAGTTAAACTAAAACCATAATTTTCGTTACATGGTTATTTACATAAATTAGCGTAGTAATCTGTAACTGTAAATATTAAATAATAATGCAACTTTTGTAATATATCTTCAAATCAGGTGGTACTGAAGAAGAGACTGCGAGCTTAACTTATGGGAATCACGGTGTTCTTCTACTTCAATAATAGACATTATTAATTGTAAACTTTAATTATGTTCCTGACTTTTTTTAAACTATTAACTGTACCGCACTTAGTTGACATGTTTATTGTGCTACTATTACTAGTAAGTTTCAGACAATATTATCATAGTCAAAGTATTATTTGAAACGTTTATCTTATCTTTTAGTACACTACAGTGTTATGTTACATGCTATAAATAATAATAGGCAGTAGTTGATAGATGATATTTCTATTCGATTAATTTTTATATGTTGGATTCTAGGTTTTGAATTCAGATTTAAAAAAAAATTTAATTTATATGCTGAGTTTAAGTAGTCGGACAAAATATTGTATTACCAAATTTACCAATGAATGTATTAGAAGGTTGAAAAACTGGTGTTTTTTATTGATTTTATTTTAACTGTCTGTGTCCTACATCTGCTTTTCAATGTTAAACCGATAAGTTATTTACAATGATTATGTAAGTGGTTACTTTAAATAATAATAACTTATATTACTAGTTATTAATACTAGATATTTGTACAAGTTATTGTATGAAACATGGACATTGTATTTCTTACCAGTATGTAATGGACTATGATAGTCAATAAATGTTATTATCATTTTTGTATCTTTGTATCTTTGTATCCTAGTCATGCAATATTATTTTCTCTAACTCTCTAATTTGATGTTTCATTCCTAAATACCTAATTATTATTCAATAATAAAAAACAGTACAAAATACTAAATTTTTATAAATGAAATTAATTTTTTTTTCAAATAATAATCGAGCAGCTAAGTGTTTAATATACACATTTTATAAGCGTCTAAATTCTATAACGTTTTGTGTCTGACTAACTTAACCTTGATTTGAAAAATCTTTAAAACTAATAAACTCATGCTGATGTATCAAACTTATTATTATTAGGATGCAACCAACAAACACTAATTATCTCAGACATCACGTATGCCTGATGCCTGCTTAAAAAATACCCCCTTCACATCAAAACGTTAATTCCACCCTAATAGCTAGTAGTATAATATCGTCCATTATATAGCCTTGACGACGTTTGTAATCTTAGATTTAGCCGCGTCGTAAGTACCATCCTTCTGTCAAACAATCGACAATTAGTAGTTGTATCTAACAAAATCATAAACCACTGCTAAATCTTTCGAATTTTAAATACTTGGTGACGATTCCGATAAATATATTAGTACCACTTCATAAATTATACTACTTTAAGTTATTAATACTATTAACTATTACTATATTGTACTATTATTATAGAGCTATAGTATAAATAAGTGAATGTTAGGCTACTCTTTATCTCAATACAAGATTCAATTCCGTACTTTTATTCAATTAGTCCAAATCCTTTACAAATGTCGTACTTACGCAATATATATTTTATTATCGTATATAAAGTCCGGTACAGTGCATAACGCAGATTACTCTGCTGCTCGCCAAGTTAGACCCGTTCTTAAATTTAAAACAATAACAAGTGTCAAAATATTGACAGTAACCATTGATCAGGTCGGTTACAGAGCTGTATGCTAATACTTTCACGTTTTTTTCACGTATTTTAAAATTCATGTTTACTACGTAATTAAGTAATTTATCAATATACACAGTTGGGGATCCAGGAGCAGTCGGGGCATGAACCAAAAATCAGCTGGGGCACAATCTCGGTTAAGTTTTCACTTTTCAGACTAAAATTAATATTACGTGCGTTGTAAATTTAAGTCAATCAAGATAAAAGTGTTATCGACATTACAGATCACTCACTACGAAAAGACAATTATATTTCAAACGAATTCCCTGGATTTTATACTCATGAACTCGCTTCTTTGTGATAAACATGGATAGTTTGAGGTACAGTCATGAGTCAACCTTCGCCAAGGGCTGTTATCTTTATACTCTGAATTCAGGTTCATATTATAAAGGGGTTAATATAATCATTTCTGAATTTGGCACACTACACTTGTCCATTAGTCCTTCATTTCTTAATTAAGATAACAGAATACACATTAGTCGATGACGAAAGGCTGATCTGGGCGTTGTTCAAAGTCACGCAACTTTCACGCGTTACTCCTAACACTGGCCCTTCATTACATAAAGGATCTCACTAGCTGTCCAGATCAGTCCAGTTATAATATTTTGTAGATAGATATCTCAACCGAGTCACTATGTTACGTTTTATCACTTCCGTGTTATCGGTTATTGTTGTACTGTCGGGATCCACTGTCGCAGCCAGTGATAGCAGGAGTTATACAGCTCTTAAGTTTGCTTATGATGGAAATAGTTTGGTAACATATAGCCCGGACATGACCCCCTTCACAGACAAATTTACTATTTGTGTGTGGGTTCGCAAACTCCAGTCAGGGAGAAACCCGTCCCCATTTGCTTATAAAGGTTACGAGATATTCGTGACAGATAGCGGCTACTACAACATGCTGTTTAGATCCACCTCCCTGGATGGTGATCTGATTAGCAAGTTTACCTCACCAGTAGGTACATGGTTTATGTACTGCTCCACGTGGAGCCTCGCTTCTAGAACCTTCAGAGTCTACGTTAATGGTGAACTAGCAGGTACCCAGACCACACCTTCTGGGAGGAAGCTGCAAACAAGTGGAGCATTAACCTTAGGGAATTATTCACCAAATAGCGGTCATCATTTTGGTGGCGAACTGTTTAATTTTAACGTATACTCTAAGGAGCTGACAGCTACAGAAGTAGCTGCCATGTCTTCAGGTGGTCTCTGTACAGAGATACCTGAACAGTTGGAGGAGTATAGAGTTATAAAGTGGGAAGATATTGTGAAGCTGAGTAGGTCTGGTACTGTGCAGGACTTCATCGACCCATTATGTGCTGATTCTGATGAACTGCAGAAGACGAGAGGAAAGCTGGAGTTAGCCGTTAGTGAAAAGAGTACTCTACAACTTTCCCTAAACAGGACGCAGATAGAACTACAGGAAGTTCAGGGGCTGTTCAACTCAACCCAGGAAGAACTAGTTGGGGTAAAGAGAGACCTAGGGGAAATGGGAGGAGAGCTGAATGAGACAAAAAGTCAGCTTGAGGACACAAAGTTGGAGTTGGAGGATACTAAGTTGGAGTTAAAGAACGTCACCGAGTCTAAATGTGCGCTTCATAAAGGCAACCTAACGAAGTGGGATATGTTTTATTCGCCCGCTTATTATAATAAAACATTTACTCGCCGACTATATCAACAACTCACCACAACTTGGGACTCTATTAGCAGTAAGATATAAGCAGTATACTATAGTTAACATTATATTATATTTTATATGACAATTTATATTTATATTGATCACTTTTGAAAAATTGATTTGTGCTTCAAAAAACACTGGTAACAAAATCGTATCTTCTAATAAAACGTACACACATAAGATATATTATAGAATACCATTTAACTCTTGCAACATCTCAAACTCGCTCATTAAGCCAATTTATGCTATCTACATATTATTAATATTTGTAAACGAGTTCTCACTTCTCCTTTTATTCAGGTAAACTGTTTGGTATGACGATAACTGACAAGGTAATTGAGCTGATTAAAGATCTGGAGGACGATCAGATCGATCACTGCGGGGACTTATCATAAAGCCTAGCTACAGAGATAATCTTACTAAGGTACTGACCAAACTTAACTTTTCTGAGTTAAACTAAAACCATAATTTTCGTTACATGGTTATTTACATAAATTAGCGTAGTAATCTGTAACTGTAAATATTAAATAATAATGCAACTTTTGTAATATATCTTCAAATCAGGTGGTACTGAAGAAGAGACTGCGAGCTTAACTTATGGGAATCACGGTGTTCTTCTACTTCAATAATAGACATTATTAATTGTAAACTTTAATTATGTTCCTGACTTTTTTTAAACTATTAACTGTACCGCACTTAGTTGACATGTTTATTGTGCTACTATTACTAGTAAGTTTCAGACAATATTATCATAGTCAAAGTATTATTTGAAACGTTTATCTTATCTTTTAGTACACTACAGTGTTATGTTACATGCTATAAATAATAATAGGCAGTAGTTGATAGATGATATTTCTATTCGATTAATTTTTATATGTTGGATTCTAGGTTTTGAATTCAGATTTTAAAAAAAATTTAATTTATATGCTGAGTTTAAGTAGTCGGACAAAATATTGTATTACCAAATTTACCAATGAATGTATTAGAAGGTTGAAAAACTGGTGTTTTTTATTGATTTTATTTTAACTGTCTGTGTCCTACATCTGCTTTTCAATGTTAAACCGATAAGTTATTTACAATGATTATGTAAGTGGTTACTTTAAATAATAATAACTTATATTACTAGTTATTAATACTAGATATTTGTACAAGTTATTGTATGAAACATGGACATTGTATTTCTTACCAGTATGTAATGGACTATGATAGTCAATAAATGTTATTATCATTTTTGTATCTTTGTATCTTTGTATCCTAGTCATGCAATATTATTTTCTCTAACTCTCTAATTTGATGTTTCATTCCTAAATACCTAATTATTATTCAATAATAAAAAACAGTACAAAATACTAAATTTTTATAAATGAAATTAATTTTTTTTTCAAATAATAATCGAGCAGCTAAGTGTTTAATATACACATTTTATAAGCGTCTAAATTCTATAACGTTTTGTGTCTGACTAACTTAACCTTGATTTGAAAAATCTTTAAAACTAATAAACTCATGCTGATGTATCAAACTTATTATTATTAGGATGCAACCAACAAACACTAATTATCTCAGACATCACGTATGCCTGATGCCTGCTTAAAAAATACCCCCTTCACATCAAAACGTTAATTCCACCCTAATAGCTAGTAGTATAATATCGTCCATTATATAGCCTTGACGACGTTTGTAATCTTAGATTTAGCCGCGTCGTAAGTACCATCCTTCTGTCAAACAATCGACAATTAGTAGTTGTATCTAACAAAATCATAAACCACTGCTAAATCTTTCGAATTTTAAATACTTGGTGACGATTCCGATAAATATATTAGTACCACTTCATAAATTATACTACTTTAAGTTATTAATACTATTAACTATTACTATATTGTACTATTATTATAGAGCTATAGTATAAATAAGTGAATGTTAGGCTACTCTTTATCTCAATACAAGATTCAATTCCGTACTTTTATTCAATTAGTCCAAATCCTTTACAAATGTCGTACTTACGCAATATATATTTTATTATCGTATATAAAGTCCGGTACAGTGCATAACGCAGATTACTCTGCTGCTCGCCAAGTTAGACCCGTTCTTAAATTTAAAACAATAACAAGTGTCAAAATATTGACAGTAACCATTGATCAGGTCGGTTACAGAGCTGTATGCTAATACTTTCACGTTTTTTTCACGTATTTTAAAATTCATGTTTACTACGTAATTAAGTAATTTATCAATATACACAGTTGGGGATCCAGGAGCAGTCGGGGCATGAACCAAAAATCAGCTGGGGCACAATCTCGGTTAAGTTTTCACTTTTCAGACTAAAATTAATATTACGTGCGTTGTAAATTTAAGTCAATCAAGATAAAAGTGTTATCGACATTACAGATCACTCACTACGAAAAGACAATTATATTTCAAACGAATTCCCTGGATTTTATACTCATGAACTCGCTTCTTTGTGATAAACATGGATATTTTGAGGTACAGTCATGAGTCAACCTTCGCCAAGGGCTGTTATCTTTATACTCTGAATTCAGGTTCATATTATAAAGGGGTTAATATAATCATTTCTGAATTTGGCACACTACACTTGTCCATTAGTCCTTCATTTCTTAATTAAGATAACAGAATACACATTAGTCGATGACGAAAGGCTGATCTGGGCGTTGTTCAAAGTCACGCAACTTTCACGCGTTACTCCTAACACTGACCCTTCATTATTTAAAGGTCTGTATAACTGTCCAGATCAGTCCAGTTATAATATTTTGTAGATAGATATCTCAACCGAGTCACTATGTTACGTTTTATCACTTCCGTGTTATCGGTTATTGTTGTACTGTCGGGATCCACTGTCGCAGCCAGTGATAGCAGGAGTTATACAGCACTTAAGTTTGCTTATGATACAAATAGTTATGTATCATATAGCCCGGACATGACCCGTTTGGCAGACAAATTTTCTATTTGTCTTTGGATAAGGCAACCGCAGCCACGAAATACTTCCCCATTCGGCTATAATAGTAACGAGTTATTCATGACAGACGACGGCCGCTACAACAGACTGTTTGGTTCCTCCTCCCTGGATGGTGATCTGATTAGCAAGTTTACCTCACCAGTAGGTACATGGTTTATGTACTGCTCCACGTGGAGCCTCGCTTCTAGAACCTTCAGAGTCTACGTTAATGGTGAACTAGCAGGTACCCAGACCACAACCTCCGGTAGGAAGCTGAACACAGGTGGAGCATTGGTATTGGGCAATAAGTATGTAAATTCAGGTCACAAATTTGGCGGCGAAATTTATAACTTTAACATATACTCGAAGGAGCTGACAGCTACAGAAGTAGCTGCCATGTCTTCAGCTGGTCTCTGTACAGAGATACCTGAACAGTTGGAGGAGTATAGAGTTATAAAGTGGGAAGATATTGTGAAGCTGAGTAGGTCTGGTACTGTGCAGGACTTAGAAACAAGATGTGATCCTAACATTTTAGTTGAACTGCAGAGAACGAGAGGAAAGCTGGAGTTAGCCGTTAGTGAAAAGAGTACTCTACAACTGTCCCTAAACACGACGCAGACAGAGCTACTGGAAGTTCAGGGGCTGTTCAACTCAACCCAGGAAGAACTAGTTGGGGTAAAGAGAGACCTAGAGGTGATGGGAGGAGAGCTGAATGATACCCTAGTGGAACTTAAGGGAGTCAAGAGGGAGCTCGGAGGAGAGTTGAATGAGACAAAAAGTCAGCTTGAGGACACAAAGTTGGAGTTGGAGGATACCAAGTTGGAGTTAAAGAACGTTACTGAGTCTAAATGTGCGCTTCAGAAAGGCAACCTGACGAAGTGGGACTTGTTTTATTCGCCCGCTTATTATAATAAAACATTTACTCGCCGACTATATCAACAACTCACCACAACTTGGGACTCTATTAGCAGTAAGATATTAGCAGTATACTATACTGTATAGTTAACATTATATTATATTTTATATGACAATTTATATTTTAAATATTGATTACTTTTTAAATTAACTGATTTGAGCTTCAAAAATCACTGGTAACAAAATCGTATCTTCTAATAAAAGCCAATTTATGTTATCTACATATTATTTAATATTTATATATGTTAACGAGTTCTCACTTCTCTTTTTATTCTCACTTCTCTTTTTATTCAGGCAGACTGGTTGGAATGACGATAACTGACAACTTTATTGAACTGATGAAAGAAATGGATGACGATCAGATCGATCATTGCGGGGACCTATCATAAAGCCTTTCTACAGAGATGATCTTACTAAGGTACTTTTCTGAGTTAAACTAATACCATAATTTTCGTTACATGGTTATTTATATAAATTAACGTAGTAATCTGTAACTGTAAATATTAAATAATAATGCAACTTTCGTAATATATCTTCAAATCAGGTGCTACCGAAGAAGAGACTGCGAGCTAAACTTATGGGAATCACGGTGTTCTTCTACTACAATAATAGACATTATCAATTATTGTAATCTTTAATTAAGTTCCTGACTCGTATTTTTGAAAACTATAGTATACTGAAATTGTACCACACCTAGTTTACATGTTACTACTATTACTAGTAAGTTGACAATATTATGAACTAAGTATTATTTATGTATGTAATTGATAATAAATTAAAAAATTTAAATTTTAAACTCAAATTACAAATTATGATTCATATGCTGAGTGGAACAAAATATTGTATTAACCAATGGATGAATTAGAAGGTCATTGAACTGAAATGATAAACACGTGTATTTCAATATTCTAGGTTAATTTGGAGAGTTTGCGCATTGACTGATAGACCTGCATCTGTTGATGCATTTAAATTTGAAACCTTTACAGTAAGTTATTTTAAAATGATTATGTATGTCTAACTTACTAGTAACTGTATGAAACATAGACAGTGTATTTATTACCAGTTGCAGTTATGGACTATGATAATCATGCAATACAATTTTCTCTAATTTGATGTTTCATTTCTAACTTCCTAATTCTCTAATAAAAATCACAAAATATTAACTTTTTATAAATGAGTTTAAGTTTATCTCAAATAAACATCCAGCAGCTCAGTTTTTGAAATACACATAACATCTATCTATATTATATTTTAAACTTGACGAAATTTCCCCGGCAACGGGGACATAGAAGAAAAAACACCGAAAATCGACCTCAAAATGACCCTCTGGTGAAGCCAAACCCAGCTCGCAAATGGAGTTGAAACCTCGCCATTTTTAGCAGGGTTGTAGAAAAAGGATAGGAATAGGCTATAGCATTCTTAGAATTTTGATTTAGGCTTTAGATTTTTTATAATTAACGTCGGAAGTGAGGTTAAATAATCGTTAGAATAATGGCGTTATTTTAGCAAAGGTTTACTGCGCTGTTGCGTAGCAACGATAAAAATGCACGTGCGCGAGCAAGAACATCTTAACTACGCGCGTTGTTATGCTGTATGCTACGTCATAACTTCAAAACTAGCTCACATTTACGCTCACGCTATGACTTATATTCATAACTTTGGTTGTGATTGGTATTTTTGATGCGGTAAAAAGTATCGTTTTGGGAATCCGAATTCCGAATACTAACAACGCTGTCGCCATTGTTAAATAAATTCCATTATGTCTACTGTATAACAGAGCTGTATGATGAAGAGAAATTAAAACATAACTGATTTTTAAAATTTCCTCGAACAAAGCTTTCGACTAGCGGGTTTCTAGTATTCTATAACGTTTTGTGTCTGACTCACTTAATCTTGATTAGAAATATCTAAACAGGTGAACAAATGCTGACATGTATCAGACTTATTAGGATGGAAACGACAAACACTATTAATTATCTCCAACAAGACATAATACACCAGCTTAAAAAACACTCGCTTCGCCTCACCCCAAAAAGTTCACCTTACCTCGATACTGAAGAGGACACCCCCGATAAGTTAGCCTCACCTCGATACTGAAGAGGACACCCCCGATAGGAGCTGCGAAGGTGCAGCTAACACCCACTGCGCAGGCTGCTGCTAACATCTCTACGTTACGGGTCTCATTAGAGAATATTCTCTTGAATCCCTGCAACCAGTTTCCTTTTTATTGAAGAATTCTCATTATGGTTATCGGGGTCTTTTCAAGATTTCTTAGCTGAATCTTTAAATTTCATAGCGGGGAAGTTGTTAGCACAAATTTTAAAGACCACCAAACTTAATATGAAAACTCGTTAAATCTTACCTTGACGTTTTGGCCCAATAAGTTGGACATGATACAGGCGATGTGAACGAAGGGACCCTCTTTACCTATAGGAAGCCCGCTTCCCATAGAGAAACAGAGCCCAATAACTTTACTGATAAGAGTCTGCCAGGTTAGGTAATTGTGGATCACAATTCCACGGAGGATTGTCTTCATTTCTGGAATTCCTGACCCCACTGCGTTCAGAGATATCACCTGGTGAGGGGAACCGGAACGTTAAATATTTAATAAGTCAATATCACAAACTAGTCCAGAAGTTAAGAAACATACGTTGACTTGCACGTGTAATAAAAAGTTCTTCATTACAATTACCTGCACGACAGAAACGCTGAAAATAATACAGAGTAGAGGGTAGACGGTCCATAGCAGGAAACGTAGTATCGGGTTAGTTGTCAGATCGTTGTAAAAGAACACGTGTGTCTCCTTGTAAAGTGGGATGATTTTAAACAATTTGATTTTAACGAATATTCTCAACACTTCAACTCACTTTTAACAAGCTTTTATAAACTTAATACAGAATCGTTATTAAATATAAGTTTGGATTAACTTAAACTTGAAAAATTTAATTTATATTTTAAAAACCTGAAGTTTGAGTATACAGAAGTCCATGGCGAATGAGATAAGAGCCATGCTGATACCGAGCAACAAACAGAAGAGCCAGTCGTCCCCAAACGTGTCCAACACGTAGTACTTCCAACAGGAGTAGCAGGATCTGGAGCAGCTGTTACCTCCTTCTATCAGGTCACATTCCTCTAGGTCATCCTGAAATTCGGTTAAAACTGTCACATTACGTTATCCTGAAAGTGTTTAGATTTTGGTGCCGTTGTTATTTAAGAATACGTCGTGAAAATTAACTAGACTATTTGGCGTTCAGCCCATTTAAAAAAAAGAAAAAAAGAGTAAAAGCGAGTTTTTACAGTGCTTGATTGTAACCAGAGGACTAGACTAACCTGTATGTCAAGTCTAGCACGCAGCTGGCTATGCTGGTGATGTTGGAAACCGTCACTGTGTTGTCGGTTTAGTCGGGGCGGTGCTCCGTCCTCCATCACCAGTATCTCCTCTTGATCGTCTGTCTGAAGATAACAACATTTCAAATAATGTAAAAGATAGTAAAAAGTGAAGATAGCACTTGACAAAATTAAACGCGTATTTTAATTAGCTCTCACCTATTTACTGCCATACGATGCACCTTCTTTATGTAGAATATAAAATAAAATTATCACATTATACCTTCTTAAAACAGAAATCTACAGACTTACATTCAGAATGGCAACATTTGTGAAGATCACATTATGTTTGGATTTCCCTTTCATCTTTATACCAAAACACAACTTCACAGTACACTACCAGAAACAGTAAGATCTAAAAACACCGCTCACAACAACAAATTACCACAAATACGTGTCTGATTGATAGAGCAGAATTGAAAACCAGTCAGAACGATAGTAACGATAAAACTAAATATTCGTAACAATCAGCTCCAACATTAGATGAGACGCATATCACTCGGACAAGTACGCCACCAACAGCCAACTAGTTAAGATTAGAGCAATAAGATTAACATTACACGGTAATCGGATCCTGTGAAATACGATCTTATGTCATGATCTACAGAAACCACTAGAGAGACGTGATACAGAGTTCTTAATAAAGGAGAGCTGAGACAGTGCTCAGTGCTGATCATGTGAACAGTGAACAGTGAGACAAAGGGACGAGAGAATTAACTTTAATTCCGTAACATTAAGAGGACTGCGTTTGTTAACATCTGGCTGCTGGAAATTGGTGATACCTTATCTTACTTTTTAAATTTATATTGAACGTTGTAAATTACCTGGGTACAACTTACAATTACCCGTGTATACCTTAATTATATGTAACTTACCCGTGTATAATTTAATTATAAATAACTTACCCGGGCCGTGTATAACTTAATCGGACATATAATTTACCTAAATGTAACTTAATCGGATATAACCTACCCGGTTTTTGAAGTGTGGCATGACATTGTAGTCCTCTCTATCCTGCTTGTCTAGCAGTTCCTCCCTATCCTCTGCTTCACTGTCCCCCGAGTTAGATCTTATCAAGCTCTGTATAAACATTCACCATGTCAACCTTATAACTTAATTAAGTGTAAGAACTAAACATTCACCATGTCAACCTTATAACTTAATAAACTGTAAGAACTAAACATTCACCATGTCAACCTTATAACTTAATAAACTGTAAGAACTAAACATTCACCATGTCAACCTTATAACTTAATAAACTGTAAGAACTAAACATTCACCATGTCAACCTTATAACTTAATAAACTGTAAGGGGGGGGGGGTGACATGTCTCCAATGTCTCCAATGTCTTTTGTCTTTTTTGAAAAGATAGGGTGCAGAGACATGTCCTGGAGACATTGGAGACATTGGAGACACAGCTTTTGGAGACATTGGAGACATTGGAGACATTGGGGACATTGGAGACATTGGAGACAAAGCTTTTGGAGACATTGGAGACATTGGAGACACTGGAGACGTAGATGTATGATTGGAGAAGGAGGAGGATCTAGGAGGAGGATGACCCAGGAGGAGGACTCAGGAGGAGAAGGAGGAGGATGAGGACTCAGGAAGAGGACTGAGGAGGACTGAGAAGGAGGAGGACTGAGGAGTACTGAGGAAGATGGCTGAGGAGGATGGCTGAGGAGGATGACTGAGAGGGAGGAGGAGGAGGAGGAAGAGGACTGAGGAGGAGGAGTAGGACTGAGGAGGAGAAGGAGGAGGACCTAGGAGGAGGACCCAGAAGGAGGACTCAGGAGGAGGAGGAGGAGAACTCAGGAAAAGGACTGAGAAGGAGGAGGACTCAGGAGTACTGAAGAGGATGACTGAGGAGGAGGAGGAGGAGGAGAAGGACTGAGGAGGAGAAGGAGAAGGTGGAGGAACTAGGAGGAGGATGAACCAGGAGGAGGACTCAGGAGGAAGAGGAGGAGGACTCAGGAGGAGGACTTAGGAGGAATGAGAAGGAGGAGGACTGAGGAGAACTGAGGAGGAGGAGGAGGACTGAATAGGAGGAGGAGGGGGACTGGGGATGACTGAGGAGGAGGAAGACTGACGAGAGGGATGAGGAGGAGGACTGAGGACTGAGGAGGAAGAGGAGGATGAAGAGGAGGAAGAGGACCCAGGAGGAGGAGGACTGAAGAGGACGATGAGGATGAGGACTGAGGAGGAGGAGGACTGAGGAGGATGGCTGAGGAGGATGACTGAGAGGGAGGAGGAGGAGGACTGAGGAGGAGGAGGAGAAGGACTGAGGAGGAGAAGGAGGAGGACCTAGGAGGAGGAGGACCCAGGAGGAGGACTCAGGAGGAGGACTCAGGAGAAGGACTCAGGAAAACTGAGGAGTGAATAGGAGGAGGAGGGGAGGACCTAGGAGGAGGACGACCCAGAAGGAGGACTGAGGAGGAGGAGGAGGAGGAGAACTCAGGAAGAGGACTGAGGAGGACTGAGAAGGAGGAGGACTGAGAAGGATGAGGACTGAGGAGTACTGAAGAGGATGACTGAGGAGGAGGAGGAGGAGAATGACTGAGGAGGAGAAGGAGAAGGTGGAGGAACTAGGAGGAGGATGAACCAGGAGGAGGACTCAGGAGGAAGAGGGGGAGGACTCAGGAGGAGGACTTAGGAGGAATGAGAAGGAGGAGGACTGAGGAGAACTGAGGAGGAGGAGGAGGAGGACTGAATAGGAGGAGGACTGACGAGAAGGATGAGGAGGAGGACTGAGGACTGAGGAGGAAGAGGAGGAGGATGAAGAGGAGGAAGAGGACCCAGGAGGAGAAGGACTGAAGAGGAGGATGAGGATGAGGACTGAGGAGGAGGAGGAGGACTGAGGAGGACTGAGGAGGATGGCTGAGGAGGATGACTGAGAGGGAGGAGGAGGACTGAGGAGGAGGAGAAGGACTGAGGAGGAGAAGGAGGAGGACCTAGGAGGAGGAGGACCCAGGAGGAGGACTCAGGAGGAGGACTCAGGAGGAGGAGGAGGACTCAGGAGGAAGACTCAGGAGGAAGACTCAGGAAAACTGAGGAGGAGGAGGAGGAGTGAATGGGAGGAGGAGGGGGACTGGGGAGGACTGAGGAAGAGGAGGACTAAGGAGAAGGATGAGGAGGAGGACTGAGGATGAGGACTGAGGAGGAGGACTGAGGAGTACTGATGAGGATGGCTGAGGAGGACGGCTGAGGAGGATGGCTGAGGAGGATGACTGAGGAGGATGACTGAGAGGGAGGAGGAGGAGGAGGAGGAGAAGGACTGAGGAGGAGGAGGAGGAGGAGAAGGAGGAGGACCTAGGAGGAGGAGGACTCAGGAAGAGGAGGACTCAGGAGGAGGACTCAGGAAGAGGACTCAGGAGGAGGACTGAGAAGGAGGAGGACTGAGGAGAACTGAGGAGGAGGAGGATGAGGACTGAATAGGAGGAGGGGGACTGGGGGAGGACTGAGGAGGAGGGGGACTTGGGGAGGACTGAGGAGGAGGAGGAAGACTGACGAGAAAGATGAGGAGGAGGACTGAGGAGGAGGACTGATGATTGAGGAGGAAGAGGAGGAGGATGAAGAGGAGTAGGAGGACTCAGGAGGAGGAGGACTCAGGAGGAGGAGGAGAACGACTGAGGAGGACTGAGGAGGAAGAGGAGGAGGAGGAGGAGGAGGAGGAGGAGGCTGTGTCTCCAATGTCTCCAAAAGCTGTGTCTCTAATGTCCCCAATGTCCCAAATGTCCCCAATGTCTCCAATGTCTCCAAAAGCTGTGTCTCCAATGTCTCCAAAAGCTGTGTCTCTAATGTCCCCAATGTCCCAAATGTCCCAAATGTCTCCAATGTCTCCAAAAGCTGTGTCTCCAATGTCTCCAATGTCTCCAATGTCTCCAATGTCTTTGTCTTTTTCGAAAAGATAAGGTGCGGGAGACATTGGAGACATGTCACCCCCCCCCCCCTGTAAGAACTTAACATTCACCATGTCAACCTTATAACTTAATAAACTGTAAGAACTTAACATTCACCATGTCAACCTTATAACTTAATAAACTGTAAGAACTTAACATTCACCATGTCAACCTTATAACTTAATAAACTGTAAGAACTAAGAAATCATGGCGACGTTTGATTTACTTAACATGTAACATAATATAATTAATACAGGACTTAATTTTCATGAACATGTATTATGTAGACTGTAGAGGATCAGGATGTTCCTTAGGTGAAATAACGTAAAATTTTAAAAACTTACATGTGACCGGAGATGCTGTACAATACGTTATCAAACTAGACCACGAGCAAAGAGAAAAATACGAGTGCGGAAATATGACAGGCTTGGAGATAATCAATACAACGTAAAATTGAGTTTCGTGTTACAATATATCAATATATCGTGTTATTTTACAAACGTAGGCCAAGTTTAGGAATGTGTACAATGCACTGACACGATATACCACCTACATACCAGCTAAACTACTAGATACATTTGCTTGGACTATTAAACCTTTTACAAGGACAGAAATTTAATTACCAGTCACTATTGTATTATGGTTACACGTTGTTAATAGCACTACAAAGGTTCAGGAGCTCGAGATGGCAGTTTTATTGAGAGCAAGTTAGAATCACCTAAAATGAAGAAGAAATAGTTTGTATGATAAATGATCCTGTTACAAACGACACATTGACACAGTAAACTAAAATTTAAAAGAACATTTTTTTAATATTTGCCAGACACGAGTTAGACAATCTCAAACACAAGTATAAATCGTAATAAACGAAGAATTAATAAGTTATCCAGACATAAACTTTTAAATCCATTCAATGAATTCATGAAAATAAATATTGTATTGATATATTGAATAAGATACAAAATAGAACAGTTCATGTAAAATTGACAATACCAGCATCTAGAACAACTGAATTATGCTAAAAACGGATAATATATTCAAGATGTCATCATCTTTTCCTGGAAAACAAAACATAAATAGAAAAAATATACGTTACATGCCAATAGTCTCAGGGAAAGCGTCTTGAACATAGAGCATCATATTATAATCCGTCATTTCAATACGACCCTTCAAAATGTTTGGGCCTAAAAGTAAGGACAAAGATTGAAGACATTCTACAGAGGCAGCCTTTAAAAGATTATTGTCTGACTTCAGCCCGTAAAATAATCCATCAAAGAAGTCATTTATAAATGGCTTTATCTTAATTTTAGTTAATCGTCTAAAAATCATCGGGATGCATTTATAAATTGTTTCCAGGAGATGCTTGTGATGTTCAAAGTTCCGTTTTCTAGTGGCACTTGAAATTTTCCGAACCATGGGAAGTAGGTCAGATTTAGTATCGTTAACGTCGCTCAACTCCATGAACAGCCTGACAGCACCATCAGTACGCTCCCAAGGTTGGGATGGTCTTTTGAAGTGATGAGAAGCAGAGCAACCCCCAGCACCAAGAGCCTTGCCCCCTCGCCCCATCTTGGGGGCCAGAGACCCACAGGAGTACATAACCTGGTTTGTATGAGCAGGATCGTCTGCCATCGCCACCCCAAATACAGCGGGCTTCTTGCTGAGATCAGAGTAAAGCGTGCTGTCATCTTCCTGTCCATCAACAGCATCAAGAAGTTCAGACAACTTAGCTACCACATCATTGGACAGGGGTGATAAGTACGCCCGGACAATGTTGGAAATAGCAATAGCTGCACCCTGTCTTACTGAAGGTATGTTATCTTCAAGGTTCATATAGAACAGCGGCATTAATCTGTCAATGTAAGCTCGGCATTCTTCAGCAAAAACAGACACAAAATTACCACACGCAGTACAAGCAGCATCCCTAACCGGCCAACTATCATCCTCAAAACAAACAAGCAGTCCCTGGATCAGGGTTGGAACATGAACCCTCACTGGATCACTTCCAACTTTAGTGGCCAGCTCAGCAATACAAGCGCAAGCCGCTTCTCTTACAGCGTGGTTATCAGCTTCAGACTGTTTGATGTAGAAGGGCACTATAGAGTTGAGGTGTAACTCAACAGCCTTCACTCCTGTCACACTGAACAACATTCTCCAAGTTGTCTGGCAGTGGATCCTTACCCCTTCAGCTATGTAGTACCTGTTGAGACAGAGAGGTGGGAGGATCTGGGGATAGAACTCGTCCCTACCAGCAACAGGGATACCCAGCAAGAAAGCACGGGTCGCACAGCATGCTGCCATTCTTACCTGTGACCAATTATCTGATAGACCCCTCTCTAGGACGTCTGCAAACCGCTTTCCTTCACTCCAAATGTGGCCCTTGTTTTCTGATTGTTCGTTGAGAGGGTGTATGGAGACGAGAGCACAGCACACCATATACCCAGTCTCCCGGACAAACCTGTTTGTGTGACTTAAAGAACCAAACACCAGATCCAACAGAGCACTGTCAATACAGTCATCAAACTCGGCTCCAGTGTTGGTTATGATGCATTCCAGTGCTTTCATGTTGGTTTCTAAGTTCCCCCACCCAGCTGTATCGTGGAACACCGACTCAGAAGTGTCCCCATTCAACTTCTCTTTTATCTTGTTGTCAGCCTCTTCGTGTCTCTCCAAACACACTATAATACCAGATAATAACTCCGACTTGCAGGACAAGTAAACGCTAGTCCCTCGGAACTTAGCAAGAGCACCAAGGAGTTGCCCGGCAGCAGTACGAACCCTTGTCTCGTGGTGTGTAAGATACTGCTGTCCTGCGTTGGTGGCGGTGGTGAAGAACTCTGGTGAGCAAGTTTCACTGCAACAGTCGATGTAGAGAGACAGAGCTTGTAGAGCACCGTGCAGTTGCTCCCATGGTATTGACTCTTCTGGGTTTATGGAGTATTCTGAGTCATTGAATTCTACTTTTCCTTTGATTAGGATGAGAAGAGGTGATTCGTTTTCTGTTCCAGAATTCGCTTTTAGGTGTCGAGAAAGGGCTCCGATCCCACGATCTCGGTCAAGCTTCTTGTGTGATGATAGCGATTGTATAATTGAATCCATGTTAATTTAGAACATTTCAGGGCTTCCTGTCGTGATTTTAGTATTAAAATCAAGATAACAATTCAAGCTTACAAATTCAAGCAGTTTTTAACTATTTTACGCTATATTTTTGAAGTAAGAACAAATTGTACAAATACATAATATTATCATTATCTAAAAAGGTGTTCAAATAAGATGAATGGAAAAATGTACAATCAAAAATGCAATATGATACTAAAAATCTTCCACGGCATTTTTGAAACATTTAACCCTCTATATCTAGACAACAACAAGAGAAAGTTGCAGTCAAACTTGAGTTATTGATAATCAAACCTAGACAAGGAATAAAAGTGAAAATAAATAATTTACGACAGCCAAATTTCAAAATAAACTGTTACCCTCCTACTGAATAAAGAAATAACTTCGTCAAACTAAATTATGGCCAAGCCAACAGAAAAAATCCCTAAATTTTATTAAGCCGACAAATGGGATTTTCTTGCACCATATTAAGATTAACTTTAGGACCTATCAGTTCTCTTATATTGTTTATTCCATATTTGATCATCGTGGGACGTTCTAAAGATAAACCCCAAGCTATGACATTGACATCTTTAGGTATGCCCATCGGTAGCAACATTTCTGGTCTAAACATACCGGAATTACCGATTTCCACCCATTTCTTCAGTCCAGGATGGTATGAAAATATTTCCATGCTTGGTTCTGTGTAGGGATTGTAAGCAGGCTTGAACTTTAGCTTTTCTAGTCCAAGCTTTTTAAAGAATGCATAAAGTGTTCCGATAAGATGTCCCAGGGTTAAATTCCTGTCAGCCACTAAACCCTCTATCTGATGGAATTCTGCCAAGTGAGTTGCGTCCAGGGTCTCATTACGGAAAACTCTATCAATACTGAAGAGGATGTATGATTAATGAATTTGATAATCAGGCAAAAAATAATTTTTAACTGAGGAGGTAGGTTCATATTACATTTCTAAGGATAGGGTGAAAACCACTTAAGATATTATCATGATCTATGATTTGACAATTCCAACCATACATTCAAACAATATCAACAATACATTCTAATGATGAACAGTTAATTTTACTATTATTAAATACCTGAACATTTTGACTGGTTTGAACTCCTTTTGTTGAGCCAAAGCATACAGCATTCTTGCACTGACTGCAGTTGTGTGAGTTCTCAGGATGTTTTTCTGTGCTTCAGCAATTTTCCAGTCGTAGTTGTAGCCAGTTGAGCCATAACCCCCAGACTCATGTATCGTCTTGACTCGTTCCAGGTAGTCAGAGGGAAGCTTGGATTCCTTTGTCATTTCTGGATCAGAGATGAAGAATGTGTCATGGGCATCCCTGGCCGGATGTTGTTGTGGCTGGAAAAGGGCATCAAAATTCCAGAAACCATTTTCAACAAACCTGTTGGTTGGCATCTCACTGAAACCCATATCAAGGAATATCCTTCTAAACTCAGTTCTTACTTTCAACAGTGGATGTAAATATCCACTTGTTACTGGGGCACCTTTTGCTTCGAAGTTGTAGTCTTTGAAGGATTTCTTCTTCCAAGAAGCATCCTGTAGCATATCAGCGGTAAGATCTGCTTCAGGACGCTCGATGATGGTTTTAAATTCACTACCTTTTGTAAGAGAGTAAAATTTTGTCACAATGGGAGTAATAAGCTTCCTTTTCTTAAGATCTTGAATTTTCTTTTCTTCGACATTTTGCCTATTTTCGATGTCCACTAAAACAGCCTTAACCACGTCAATTGCACCGTCAACTTTACGGAAAACAGTAGGTCCATTTGCATGCTTTTTATCCATGGCCAGCCATCCAAGAGTCATAGCTTTGCTAAAACCGATTTTTGCATTTGGCATTTTCATCAGATCCTTTTGGAGTATACCATCTTTGGTAACAGCTGAATACAACAGAAACTCATAACTTCCATTAGCAACGAAACTTTTTCCTTCATTTGTCAGTTCCCACTTAGATATTTGCTTCTGTTCTGCCTGAAATGATACAAATTTAACTTGGAAAGTGGAGAAGCACACAATACGTCTTATTGTACCACTGAAATATCCCATTGCGAAAAAGTTTTAAAGTTAATACATTCCTGATTTTGAGAAATAAAGCATTTGAACAAAACTGCAGACCTAGTCTTATATATATATGATTTGGTTGAGGGGACAAATTAAAGACAATCTCACCATATTTAATTTAGCCATTATAACTGATAAGATGACAAAATTTGTCTCAGTGTTGGGGACCGGCCCGAAGTACCAGCCAATTATGTTTACTCAAAAATATGTATAATAATTATTATCTATTAAAAGTCAAAAACTCACACAATATTAAATATTGTTGTTATTAAAAATGGATTTTATTTAACAAGCATAGCTGAGCACAGTTAAAGTTGCCTTTAGGATTTGTAAAGTTGAAACTATCCTATTAATACACTTTCTGAATTGTAAGAGTAGACCTCTGCTGTTAAAGTAGTATTTATCAGCAAATTCTTCATAGTTGTACAAAATAAGCTCACCTTGATGTACTCTGTAGGAAGAGCTAGCAAACTTTTAATTGCTCCAACAAGCTTTTGATGGTCCAAACCATTCTCAGAGGCAAAACTCAGTGAACTTATTTCTTTCTGCTCCGAAAGTGTGTCTAGAATAACCTGATCCAGTGACATATCTGAATTGTCAAATTTTAGAATACTGCAGGTAATTCACTGGTTAAATACAAATGATCATCATGATAATAATATGATTAACTCGAAAATGACAATCAAACAAAAAATATGCTACCACATCAAATCAAGAGTAAGTGAACGGAATGTGATGCTGTAAGACAATAGGGAAGTATTTTTAAGGGTCTTGATTCTCAGAAAGGTAATTGAATCGAATGTCTGCCATTGTCTGTTATAAGATTTTACAGAGCAAGGTAGAATTGTTCGATCAATGTGGACCATAACTATATTTAAGCTTTATTGTTATCTAATAATTCCAATAAATGAAAAGTTCATATATATTTTATGGTAATATATATATCATAATGCCTCCTTTGAATATCAAAGAACTGAATTTGCCTAGGTGAGAATTCTCATACTTAGCTAAAACAAACCAGTGGCGTAATGAAGGGCCCATCCGACCCCATTGTGCGGGGGGCGCCATCTTAGGGGGGTACCAAATCGTTGTTTGAATGTGTGACAATTTGGAAAAACTTAACCGCGGTACTAGCAAAACTGCGCGTTTTGCTCTAGAAACGCACTTTTTAAAAGATTTTACCGGTGTATCCTCTTAAATCATCTAATTTGTTAAATTTTAGGGAGGGACACCAAGTGGGGAGGGGGCGCCAACATGGGGGCACTTTTTCAGCGGGGCGCCAACAGGAAACGTTACGCCACTGAAACAAACAAATAAATGTAATCTTACTATATATAAAGCGAGTCGATATTATATATATAAATAATATATATATATCCGTACCATTTTACTGACACCACGGCATCAACTTTAACACGACTTTCCGCAAAAACCGTAAAAGATATACTTTTGAAACTTTTTTGGCTGGGTCGAATGCTTTTATGGCCTTTTGGTCAGTATAAAGAAATACAAAATTGGCCAAGGAATAAATAATTTAGGTCCCGAAAAATTGACCCCCAGTGGTGGGGGCTACTGTAACGAATGGGGTCTGATTATTGGGGACTACTGTAACGAATGGGGTCTGGAAATCAATATCTCCAAAACCAAATTCATGGTCTTCAATGGCAAAGGACCAGACATTCCAAATTGGCGTCCTTCCATTCACGAAAGAGATATCGAGATGGTCTCCAGCTACTGCTATCTTGGAATTATTATAAGCAGCACAGGGAAATTTCGGCAAGCAACTGACTCTCTATACCGTAAAGGACTTGGAGCTTACTTCAGCTTGAGAAGCACTATAGACCGGAGATTCGTTGATGCATCCTGCCTTAACAAATTATTTAACACCCTTGTTAAGCCAATTCTACTTTACGGCTGTCAAGTTTGGGCCCCGGTTCTACCCACCGTCAATAAGGTCCTCTCTAGTTTCAGCAAGTTTCACAATCTTGATCATGCGGTCTCTCACATCGCTAAACAGCAACTTGAGCAAGTGCATCTACGACACCTAAAATACCTTCTTGGTATAAACAGAAGGGCAGTCAATGCTACAGCCTGGGGAGAAACTGGCTCATACCCAATCATTATTGAAATGTTGAAACTGAGTACTAAATATTTCAAAAGAGTTATGAGCCTCCCCTCTACACAACTAGTCAAAGCTGCAATGACTGAGCAGATTAACCTCAAATTGTCATGGTTTGTAGGCATCGAATCAATCATCAAATCATTCAACAACATCGACCTTCTTGAAAGGAATTCATCGTCGCTGTTGAACGCAACCTCACTCGCAGACTCCTGCAGCCCTGATTTAATCACAGAGAACCTGAAAAAACAGTTCCGCGATTCCTGGGGTTCTCTTGTGAAAGATTCTAGAAAGCTATCATTCTACAGTGAAGTCAAAACAGAATTTGCATGGGAGCCATATCTAACCTATGCTAGGTCTTTTCAGGACAGAAGGGCAACCACACAGATTCGGTCCAGTTCGCATCACCTTAGAATTGAAAGGGGGAGATATGACCAAACTCCAATTGATGAAAGGACCTGCAACTATTGCGAGCTTAACAACAACCAGCTATTCATCGAGGACGAGAATCATATGCTCCATTTCTGCCCCCTAGGGAAGGGTCCTAGGGACAAATTTCAAAATCTCAGTGGAAACCTACTCAACAATGTTGGTAATGGTAGCTTCAATCTTGCCTCCACGTTCATGTCGCAGTCTGATTGCAAGGATACTCCCAGTGATGAGGACGTAAGTTTGATCAAACTCTCAACCAGCACCATTAACAAGATCTACAGACTAACCCTCAACTTCAAAGACAGTCTGAAAGCAGATAATTAGTTTCCTTTCTCAGTTTTCTTTTTTTGTATTCTTTTTTCTTTTTTCCTCTCCTCCCTTTTTTCCTCCCAGCTTTGAATCTGTGATGGATGTGATGGAAGGCTTGCGTTCACTTTTATCCCTACATGGGCTCCCGGCCGTGCGTCCATGTAGGAGCTGTGGGGCCTTCCGAGTGATAGGGTTACAGTGACTGCTAGTAGAGAAAATATGAAGGTTCCACCAGTAGACATAAGTATCGAAAGCAGGGCATTGGCTCGACCTCCGAGGCGGGGTATCCGCGAGGACCCTGGTCGTAATCAGCTCTGCACTGTTTCAGTGTATCCTGATGCCTGAAATCTCGGACACTGCCTACGTACGGGGTAGACAGCCACGGATGATTTTGTCTGTGAGCTTTTCATCACTTCCTGACATGAGCCAGACCTCAGCTGGATCCTTCCTTTTCCTTTTTCTTCACTTCCCGTTCAGTCTACCTCTTCATCATCAGTTTGAGTTGCTTCGCCTTGCATTCGAACTTAGCCTCGACAGTTCACCACGGCACCTCTTTTGGATGCCTCCTGCCGGGCAACACTAGCTCTCAGACACTGGCTAACTTACCGCGCACGGTTTAGCTTCTGTGTCTTTTCTGTGGCCGTGTATTCCGTTTTATGCCACCCTCTCTGCCGTTCTCGCGCTTGCGCTCACCCACTCCTCAGTGGGCTGTTCATTTGACAGAGTTACTGGCTGGCACTCTCATCATCTTCTCACTCACCATCACTGCCCAATCAAATTTATGCAATCAAAATCACTTTACACCCATAATCATATGATCAAAACACAAAGCTTTGAAATATACTTTTTTCTGTTTGAGATTTGAATAACGTTACTGTAATGTTCCAAATTATATTTTAAATGTTCAAAATGTTCAAATCACAAATTAAACAAATGAGATTGTCTAATTTCTTAACGTCTCTTGACTTCTTGACACCACTTAAGACTTTTAGTGAATCACGGGTTCCTGCTAGTGTATATAATGTGTAAGATTTAAATAGCTTTTTGACATGAGTGAAAAGAATTTAAAGCCAAGTCAAAGAATAGAAGAATCACTGAAACATGTGCTTGAAAAGACGTTAGGAAAGAGGTAAGACACTGACATTATTCAACTGAAATTATTCAATCGACATACAAAAATTCATTATTTATAATTTCATTTACCTTTCGTGATGACATATTGAGATGTCTTTTCAGCCGGAGGTAAATCGCCTTTAATGCTAGCACCCTGACGGGAACTTAAGGATTTCGCATGATTTAGCCATCTCATTACGTGCAAGTATTTTTCATACTTGTCAACACATTCACACACTTTTTTGCATAAAGCCAAATCACCGTAACTGTATGAAAATCCGTTGACATAACTTCGAGAGGCCAGATAATTGTTCAACTCATAAGGATCCATTATATCAATGATTCTTTCTTCCATGTGACACCTGACCTATAAAAATAAAAATGGGTACTGTCAAACCAAATTTACTGGGATTAATGTGAATATTAGCCACTTGTCGAGTCTTTTTAGGTTGTTGAAATCTTAGTAAATCGTGGTTTTGATTAACACTACAATGAGTAAGCAGTTATTTTTAAGCGCTTATAAAACTTAACTGCCAGTGAATTTGAGTGAAATCTTATATGGAATGGAGAAAACATTAACATTTATAAAATATTGTGTAGATAATATCGCAATGACCCTATATAAAAGTAAAAATCTGAGTAAAAAAACCTTTAAAATCTGAGGAACATTTTTAAAAAACTTTTACAGTAAAAGTAGCCAAATGACAATCAATATACTGGCTCTAAATGTATATCTAAATCTGCTATTTTAACTGTACAACCACTGCACTTTCATCCCTCTTTCTCCTCTAAGAGCAATAATTGTTGTTTCCAATAAGTCAAATCTGGCGAAGTGATAAATATCCACTCCTTTTGCATAACAATGAGTGGTTAATCGAGTTGCCCTTTTACATTTTAACATACTATACAGTGGGAGTCGCATATATTGGTCATTACTTATCGTAACTTTACAAATTACAAACAGTGTAAAAACATTAATTTTCATCATCTAATATACACGGGAATTTTTCTAGCCTGGTTTTAAAAGTTTCCGCTATTTATTACATTTGTTATTTACAAAATTAAAATTGGGTGATTAGAGCAAAGAAAACGATGTACCGAACATCTCGGTCGGAACGAATTATATTGATTTGCGCTTCATCTTAAACATGATTACGATTATATTTATAAAGAAGTATATTTCTATGAAACACAGAATTTTAAACTAATTACAAAATTACAAATCTATTACATTTATTGAGTTATGTAAAAATAAATTGTAACGTCTCGTCTATCATGACAAAGGTGTTTGACTATTTGTTTAAAAAACTGAGTGGAAAGTGAAGATCATACTTTCAACTTGTCCTTGTAGCGCCGACAATTACTTAACGGGTGAAACTCGTAGAATATTTGTTCCATAGAGCAAGCATGCTCAGCTACACGGACAAGTCCCATCTATTGAGACAATAGATCCTAACAAACTGAGCCACGCAGTCATCAACCTATCGACCAAGATCCAAGAGATAACACCACACCAACTCTTCCTCTTCTATCTAGGGAAATCGTTTGCACCAACACCTGCATTACCAGATTATTCCAAGTTCAGACTGAACATTCTTCAGTTTGCCTACAAGCTTAGATGGGCATGGTTTTGGCACACACAACCCCAGCCAAAAGCAACACCTCCGACCATTGCAGCGATAAAAAGTATGGAAAGAACCCTCATTAAGTCGGATGAAACTAAGCCTTTAAAAGTATGCAATAACCACTGTTTAGAGCTTTACATAGAGAGAGTAACAAAAGACCTGTTACAAACAAACAGCTCTACCAGATCTAAGCTTCCTGACAATATCCCAGTAGAATCCAGAAAAGCCTTATCAGATATGGCAAAGTGGAAAGATGTTGTCATCAGACCAGCTGACAAAGGTTCACAATACTTCTTTTTAGACCGAGAAGACTACATCAAGAGGGTTAAAGAACACCTAGATGCAGAAACCTTTGACACTGTTCAGAAAGAAGAAGCCGAGCATGCTACAAAGCTAGCAATATCAGATTGGACAGCAAAGTATCATGAAGAACCTGGTTTAACGGAAAAGGTCTACCAATGGGTTACACCTGATGACTTTTGTAAGCCCGGGAACAACTATGTCAACCCCAAAGCACACAAGCCAGAGAAGAACTACCCTGGTCTTATGATTAGCACAGGATGCGCATCAGCAATCAAGAATCTCTCTGCACTTACAGCATATGAGCTTACTAAGGTTGATCTAAAATATGCCATCCAGGACAATAATCATATACTAAGAAAACTCGATGACTTAAATAACTCTAAATCCCTTGAGGGCAAGACAGTTATTCACGCATCCTTTGACATAGAGGCTATGTTCCCGAGTATCCAAAAGGAGGTAGGATTGGAACAATGTAGGCTCCATTTAGACAAGAGAGAGGACCCAATACTCTCTACAGATTGTATAATAGATGCCTTAGAGACAACTCTAGACAACAACATAACAGAGTTTGAAGGTGTCATATACAAGCAGAAAAAAGGAACTGCAATGGGACCAAAGAACGCTTGTGCTTATGCAGATACAGCCATCGACAAGATAGACAGAGATGTTATGGAAGGGACTTGCATTGGAGCCACCCTCCTCTCCTATGGGCCAGATACCGCGATGATGTGTATGTCCCTTGGACCCATGGACGGGAAATGCTCGAGGAATTCCACTTATGGCTCAATTCTAGAATGCCAGGCATAAAATTCACGTTGAAGGCTTCATTAGAGGGCACTGAATCCTTAGACACTTTTATATACATGAAAGCAGGCCAAATACATACCAAACCTTACAGTAAGCCATGTGATGACCATGCCTTCCTAGTTCCCACCTCTTGCCATCCTACACATACCATAAAAAACATACCTTATAGCACTGCACTTAGAATCTTTAAACTTACTTCTGAGCATGATGAATACATACAAGCACGAGCAAAATACACAAGCTATCTTGTGGCAAGAGGCTATAGCAATAGCTTAATTAACCAGGCCTTTGATAAAGTGGAAACCAAGAGCAGGCTCTCCTACTATCAACAACAGAGACATAAGGAGGATGACAGTAGCAAAGAGAGACTCATTCCCCTTGTAACAGATTTCAACCCAGGTCTCCCCAACATAGGACGGATACTTAACTCCCACAAGCACATCCTACGTCTAGATCTCGAGCTTTGCAAGGTGATTGACCCTGATGGTATTTTCACCTCTTTTAGAGGGACAAAAACACTTCATGAAATTCTTATTCATAGCAAACTCCCTCCTGTCGAAGAGCCAGCTGTAGAAGATCCAAGCCACGCCTCTCCAGACACAGCTGAGGATTCTGATTCTGGAGGTTGCTTCCCTTGTGCTAAGAAATGTGATCTCTGCAAAAACTTCCTGAAACCATCAACCACAATCGGCAGTTTCCACACCAACCAAGTATTCTCATCCTCAGTCATTGTATCCACAAGAGATCACTTCTACAAAACAAGGTTACAAGATAGTGCAGGTGATGCTAAAAAGACTTATTCCATCGTTAATAAGTTGCTCAATAAAGAAAAAGTTAGTACTACTACACCTTCTTGCTCTTCAAATCTTGAGAGTGCTAACAACTTTGCACAGTTCTTTAAATCAAAGGTCGACAACATATACAACAACATTTATTTAGAACAACAATCCCTTGAAGATTCTCCTAACTCAGATGAATCTGTTCCTCTTTCTAATAGCCCAAAGATAGTACAATTCCGTCATGTGTCTGATGAGGAACTAGTAAGCATCATAAAGAATATGTCTAACAAATTCTGTGATCTTGACCCCATACCTACAAAGATTCTCATCAAGTGTCTCCCAGAACTCCTTCCTCTGATCTCATTTATAGTCAATGAATCATTAGTTAAAGGTGAGTTTCCTATAAAACTTAAGGAGGCTCTCATTCGTCCAAGTTTGAAGAAACGTGGCCTTGACGGTGAATTACTATCTAACTATAGGCCTATTAGCAATCTCTCATTCTTGTCAAAAATCATTGAGAAGTGTGTATCTATACAGCTCACCAGTTATCTTGAGGATAACAACTTGCTTTCTAAAGTTCAGTCCGGCTATAGGAAGTTTCATAGCTGTGAAACTGCAACAACCAAAATCCATAACGACATCTTGATAACTATTGACAAGAAAACTAAAGTTGTTCTTTTACTTCTAGATTTGAGTGCTGCCTTTGATACTGTCAATCACCCAAGATTAATCAAGAAGCTAAGATCTGCTTATGGCATTACAGGCATTGCTCTTACATGGATCAGGTCCTACTTGGCTAACCGTTCATTTTGATACTTTCAACACTACTATATAACAAATAATTTGAGGGATAGCATGTATTAAGGCCCCCCAAGGGGAGACGTAAGTTTTCGTTGTTTTGTTGGCTGTGAAAGCTCTTACTGCATTACCGCTGCACACTTGTGTTTATTTTAGATCATAGATATAGCTGATTTCTACTATGTCTGGTATTGCTAAGAGGCAAGGGAGAAACAAAGCCCTCTCCGCCAGTTCCAGTTCCAGTTCTACACCAACTCAACATAAAACAAAAACTGCTAAGAAGCACACATCATCATCCCTATCAGAGTTAGATGCTTCTTCAATAGCGCCCCAGCTGAACCTTACACCACACATTGCAATGCCAGCCATCCAGCACTCCCACAGAGATAAGAGGAAATGTCCCTGCGACCAGTCACTGGAATCGTCGTGGAAACTAGACTGTGCCAAGTGTGGACAGTATTGGCATGCGAACTGCGTAGGCCTTAATGGACTAAATAGTAAGATGCTCAATGATCTCACACAATGGCCCTGTCCCTTTTGTTTTGTATCACCTATTGCTACTATATCCACCCAAGTTGACGTCTGTCACGTCTGCAGAAACACTTTATCACTACAGCAGTCAAACCTGGAAGCAGAAACTGTTACAAGAGAAACTCGCTGGGTTGGTAATAGAAACAGAACCTGTAATAAATAGGATTTATTACATTAATAATATAAACTCAAATAGTTATATAAAGTTCCAATTATCCATTGTAAATATATAGTAGTATATAGATCATTGTAAATATATAGTTTAAAGGAATACGTACCGGTTGATACTCTACAATAACATAAATCTTCTTTCTACAAACTTAATCTTCTTTCTACAAACTTCAACCGGTTCTCATACTATGAATATATAATGATTAGTATTCTGCTAAGTCTAACAGAAACAGCACTCATTTCATCACAACTAGAACCCTTAGCCAATTGTTGCAAGCTCATTAAGGATATTGACTTTGTTCAATTCAGTAACAGAATTGACACACTTGGCCAATTTGACCAACGCCTTCAGCACCTCCTCCTAAAAGACCAGCCCTGGAAATCCTTAGACTCAGATATAAAGCTCCTTTCAGACCAGTTGGCCACTACCCTAGATAAATCACCCACACCACCACTCAACACCACAATTGAAAACCTCACAACTTCCTTACAAACTCATGACAAGACTTTCCACTCACTCACCAACCAACTAAATGAACTCAAACAGCAAGTCACATCCCTATCATCAGACATGACCACCTCACCAACATCAGATCAATCTGAAAAGCTCCTTGAACGGGTGTCACAAGAGCTCAGAGAGGTATGCAAGCAGGAGCTGAAGCAATCAACAGCAAATCTGCAGCATTCCTCAGAGCATCCACTGACCCTCCCTGGATTACAAGAGCTCAACACCCAGGTTGTAACCCAGCTGCCCCCACACAGTCGCCCGCCTGTCTCTAAACACACTCTCGATTTTATTGATGAAGAGACAGAGAAGGATCTCATAGAAATGCTTGATTCTCGCACATCTGAGTTCAAGAATGAGAATGGACGATCTGTTCTGGCTTTTGGAGAAAGATATCACTACACTGGCACAAAATCATCACCCTCATCCGACCAACTCCCAGACCAACTCCAATCACTCATAACACAACTGAACAATGATCATCCAAACTCTCCACCTGTCAACAGCATTCTCATCAATCGGTATGATGGTCACTCAAGCTTCCTTCCACAACACTCAGACAACGAACCCCTCATTCACCCTGACTCATCAGTACACACACTTTCACTAGGTCACCATTGCACAGTCACTTTCAGCAAGACTGGCACCACAGAACCCTATCACAACCAGTCTTGTCCACCACGATCACTATACACTATGACCAGGGCAAGTCAGGATTTGTACGAACACAGAATTGAATCAGGATCTGTCGACTCCGGTGTTCGATACTCTGTGACCCTCAGATCTGTTAGTGCTCTAAACCGTGCTTCTACATGCATCATGGGAGATTCGAACACTGGTGGACTTAAATTTGGACTTGATCCTAAGAGATCCTTTGGAAAGTTCCTTCCTGGAAAACAAGTCTTCGCACCTACTGTAGAGCACATTGACCCATACGAATCCTGCGGCTACAAAAACACTGTCATTCTCTGCGGACTCAATGATATTAGGCAGGATAATGTCAAAACTCCATCTGACATCAAACAAGTGTTCAATAAATTTACTAGTAAAATTGCTGAAATTCAAGCTGTCAATAAAAAAACTAATGTTTATATATGTCCGCTGCTGCCAACTAAATGTATTGATTTAAATAGAAGAGTCAATTTCTTTAACTATCTGATTCAAACCCAGCTTCTCCCTTTCAACTTTGGTGTGAGACTGGTAGAAGGGTTTCCAAGCTTTGCTGATGAGAACGGGCTATTAAGCCAACACTTGTCAAAAAGGTTGACGAAGTTCCAGAAACCTGATTACTTACACCTCAATTGGAGGGGGGTTGCAAAATTAGCAGCAATCATTAAAAATACTATTCTTCTTAGAGTTAATGGTGGTCGAGACAGACGCAGAGCTGGACGAGGGGGGAATCAGGTGGACTCCACATCATTTCGTGACATAACTGCACGCTCTCTTCCTGCTGATAAACGAGTATCTGGTGCTCCTGACGGCTACCAACCGTCATGACTACTCTAACTAAAGAGGTATGTAAACACTGCTGCAAGGGTATCTATGTGGGCCAAGCCATAGTCGAGTGTTCCGAATGTAACCATGCAACTCATCATAAATGCTACAATATTGTCAATACCGATTTATGCGGTAACTTTCTCTGCAATACATGTGTAAATCTTGCTGTAAAACGATACAACCCGTTCAAATATGATATTTCCGACGAAGAAATCGATCTAGACGATACGATAACTAAGCTCTCGCAAATTTTAAACAGTTGTTCTCAGCTTAACAGAAGTCAAATTAATCAAACTCTAGAAACTTTAACCGAAGGTCAAATGTCAATGATGTTTCAAAACATAGACGGTAACAAAAGTAACTTTGATACTATGTGTATAGATCTTCGCCGATATAACAAAAAGTTTTCCATAATTGCACTTGCTGAAACAAATGTAGGACCTGAATTAAGTAGTTTGTATCAATTAACCGAATACAATAGTTTTTACCAAGCAACCTTTCGAGAGAAAAAGAAGGGCACCGGAGTTGCAATTTATATCCACCAGTCACTAAATGCAACAATCGATAATACCCTCTCCTATGTGAGTGAAAACCTAGAAATCCTATTTTTAAGATTCAACAGTGGTAACTCAAGCACCTTTGTTGGAGTTTTATACCGCCCTCCGAGTGGCAATTTTGACTTAGCGCTAAGTGAACTAGCCGACACTCTGGACAAAGTCCCCAGACACTCGTATATAGCTGGTGACTTTAACATCAATCTTCACGGCGACAGCAACAAGGTTGCTAAATATGAACACGTTCTTTACAGTCGAGGCTTCTATCCTCTCATATCTGTAATGACCCATGAAAAACCCGGCTGTATTCCTTCATGCATCGATAACATCATTACCAATGATTTAGACAACATTATAACATCTGGCACATTCAAAGACAAAATCACACATCATCACCCCATATTCTTAGCACTCAACACACACCTTGACCAGAACGATTGCAAGATTAAGTATGAACAGTTTTATGACTACTGTAACTCTAACGTAGATAAGTTCACCGACAAACTATCCAATAGTCTTGATAACACTGTAATAAATTGTTTTGATACCTTTGCTGACACATTTAACGTTGCTTTTGACGAATGTTAAATAAATAAATAAATAAATAAAGTCAATTTTTACAGCACAGCAATATATATCTAAATATCAGATCCTCTGTAATCATAATGTATAAAAAAAGGAGCTTTTCTCTGTGCTGAAGGATGAATCAAGGCAGATCATGGTTCTGTTAGCAGGCCACCCTAGTTATGGACAATACATATATATAAAATAATTAAATTATAATTTTAAAATTGTGTCAAGATTGAACTAAAACATAACTCAGGGTAAAATAGACGTATTCCCTTCGTCAAATTAACTATTTACAATACTAAACTTAAACGAACTCCGGGTAAAATAAACGTAATCCCTTTGTCAAACTTGCTATTTACAATAAGTTAATAAATTAATACGGTTGAAAATTATGTCATATTCAATAACAATGTAGCATCAATATAATTGATACAAATGAGGAGCATACAGTGAGAATTGCACATAACAGGAGGACTGGAGGTATGGAGCAATAATGATTGACAGTGCACCTTTCCACTGTTTCAAGTTAGAAACCCCGAAATGTACAAAACGCACTATGCAAAACAATCCATGGATTACACCAGCAATTATAACATCAATAAATCACTGTCACGAACTATACGAAAACTGGGTCAAAGCTCGCAAAGTCAAGTGCAATCTAGGAGATACTGACACAAAAGGTGGCTTCTGTCACTGCGCAGTATGTAACAAAAAGCGCAGTGAGTACTTAACTTATAAATATTATAGAAAAGAACTCAAAGTTATACGTGAAAAGGCTCAAACTTCGTACAATATGGGTAAATTTAATGAAGTTCAAGGTGACAGTAAGAAAACATGGCAACTAATCAATAAGATACGCGGCAAAGGGAAACGAGAAATTAAACCCCCGTTTGTTATTAATAATGAGAAAATAATGAACCGTAGAATTATAGCTAACGAATTTAATAATTACTTTGTATCTCTTGCCCCTAAGTTGAATGAATCATACAGTACAACCGGTCAAATTAGACTAAGTCCAATTCAATGCTTTACGGACTACTTACCAAGGCCAAATACCTCAAGTATATTTCTCAGCGATTGTACACCAGAAGAAATAGAGAAAATCATTAGCGAACTCAAGAATGGAAAAGCTAGTGACATCCCTATTCACGTCATCAAACGAACGTCTAAGATTATAAGCCCACTCCTGTCAGTATTATTTAATGAACACATGAGAAATG